ACGGTAACACTGGAGAGCTGATTTGCTAATTGTTGGCGCAAATTTTGGCGGGGAATGGTGTCAGTTATTTGGATTTTCTGGTGGTGATTGTCCTGCCCCCCCCCCCTGGTGGTGATTGTCTTGGGCCTTCCCCCTGGTGATTGTCCTGCTGCGGCGTGCCATCCCCCAAGTCCATTCCATCCAGCGGTCGATCTCAAGGACGCATTCTTAAATTTTAACATTCTGTTCATTCAAAACAGGAATGTTCTCAAATATAAATAAATAATATTATATATTAGCATTCTTAAGCATTGGTTAGGTTAGGTGTTTAGGTTCTGTTGGCGATTATTTGTATTTGTATTTCGTGGGTTAAGCATTTACAGCGTTGTGGTTCGAACAAAATTCGTCAGTGAAGCACTTGTTCCGGAAGTGTTCGAACGTAATCGGTTGTGAGTCGTGTGTAAAGCGTTATTTATTCATAAACGGGGTTGGCGGGTGCGTGGAATGGACTTTGGTCTTTGTTTGGAGGACGGGCTGGCATTTACAGCGTTGTGGTTCGAACAAAATTCGTCAGTGAAGCACTTTTTCCGGATATGTTCGAACGTCATCAGTTGTGAGTCGAGTGTAAAGCGCTTTTCATTCATAAACAGGGGGTTTGGCGGGTGCATGGAATCACTATTTGATCTTTGTTTGGAGGATTGGCAGTGATGGGTGTATGGAATGGACTTTGGTCTTTGTTTATGAGGACGGGCTGGGATTTATAGGTCAAAATGCGATGTACTGTTCGAGAAGCCGGGTCGAGTGTGGGAGTAGAAGAACTCCCAGAACCCCATCAAGCAGGCAGTGGTTCTGCAAGTTAAACGAAATTGGCGGAACCTGCTTAGTTACGTGGCTAGAAATATTGGTAGCGGTCGCTTAGTTAAGTAGCTAGCAAAGTTAGCGGATGTCGCAAGTTAAGCGGTTAGTAAAGTTAGCGGAGCTTACTAAGTTAATCAATTAGCTAAGTTAGCAGAGGTGGGTAAATAAAGCAGGATTGATGGATGGCGAGGTTGTGTTGCGCAATGTGTCTCCCAACACGTCCCTGTTTTAATGGAAAATTCTCTTCAAGGTGCAGCTTAAACTTCAACTTCTGTTCTTGGCACCAGAAGATGACTATTGGTACATAAACATATAAGTCTAGAGATAAATAGTAGACTGTAATAACTGTAGCATTTAAATCATTGTGTAGAGAGGAATCTAAACATGTTACATACTTTGGAATAAGTAAACTACTGATATTAAAATTATTAAAACTGTAAGATATAGGTTAATCCAACACCATGTAAACATGCAAAATAAACAAAATCCCACTGTCTTGTAAACAATGTAAAAAAAAATCCTGGGAACATAACAAAAACACTATAAAAATCCTTCCTCCAGGAAAATTAAAAAAAAAATCAAAGAAAAACAACGTCCTGTGAGCCATAGGACAAACTCATCTCAATGAATCACATTGTTTGAGTAATGTGGTACACTTAAAGCGTACAGTAGTTCAGCACTTCCTGTACATGACCTGGTTGGTGGTTTGAGTTGGCTGGGTAGTTTGGGAAGGGGGGAGGGGGGTGTAATTATCATATAGTCCTTCGTTTGTCTTTTGTTTAGCTGCGGTCGCAGCCTTTAGTCTTTGCTGGTGGATCTTGGTTCTTCAGTCTTTGCTGGTGGATCTTGGTTCTTCAGTCTTTGCTGGTGGATCTTGGTTCTTCAGTCTTTGCTGGTGGATCTTGGTTCTTCAGTCTTTGCTGGTGGATCTTGGTTCTTCAGTCTTTGCTGGGGGATCTTGGTTCTTCAGTCTTTGCTGGTAGATCTTGGTTCTTCAGTCTTTGCTGGTGGATCTTGGTTCTTCAGTCTTTGCTGGTGGATCTTGGTTCTTCAGTCTTTGCTGGTGGATCTTGGTTCTTCAGTCTTTGCTGGTAGATCTTGGTTCTTCAGTCTTTGCTGGTGGATCTTGGTTCTTCAGTCTTTGCTGGTGGATCTTGGTTCTTCAGTCTTTGCTGGTGGATCTTGGTTCTTCAGTCTTTGCTGGTAGATCTTGGTTCTTTAGTCTTTGCTGGTAGATCTTGGTTCTTCAGTCTTTGCTGGTGGATCTTGGTTCTTCAGTCTTTGCTGGTGGATCTTGGTTCTTCAGTCTTTGCTGGTGGATCTTGGTTCTTCAGTCTTTGCTGGTAGATCTTGGTTCTTCAGTCTTTGCTGGTGATCTTGGTTCTTCAGTCTTTGCTGGATCTTGGTTCTTCAGTCTTTGCTGGTGGATCTTGGTTCTTCAGTCTTTGCTGGTGGATCTTGGTTCTTCAGTCTTTGCTGGTAGATCTTGGTTCTTCAGTCTTTGCTGGTCAGATCTTGGTTCTTCAGTCTTTGCTGGTGGATCTTGGTTCTTCAGTCTCTTGCTGGTGGATCTTGGTTCTTCAGTCTTTGCTGGTAGATCTTGGTTCTTCAGTCTTTGCTGGTGGATCTTGGTTCTTCAGTCTTTGCTGGTGGATCTTGGTTCTTCAGTCTTTGCTGGTGGATCTTGGTTCTTCAGTCTTTGCTGGTGGATCTTGGTTCTTCAGTCTTTGCTGGTGGATCTTGGTTCTTCAGTCTTTGCTGGTGGATCATGGTTCTTCAGTCTTTGCTGGTAGATCTTGGTTCTTCAGTCTTTGCTGGTGGATCTTGGTTCTTCAGTCTTTGCTGGTAGATCTTGGTTCTTCAGTCTTTGCTGGTGGATCTTGGTTCTTCAGTCTTTGCTGGTGGATCTTGGTTCTTCAGTCTTTGCTGGTGGATCTTGGTTCTTCAGTCTTTGCTGGTGGATCTTGGTTCTTCAGTCTTTGCTGGTGGATCTTGGTTCTTCAGTCTTTGCTGGTGGATCTTGGTTCTTCAGTCTTTGCTGGTGGATCTTGGTTCTTCAGTCTTTGCTGGTGGATCTTGGTTCTTCAGTCTTTGCTGGTGGATCTTGGTTCTTCAGTCTTTGCTGGTGGATCTTGGTTCTTCAGTCTTTGCTGGTGGATCTTGGTTCTTCAGTCTTTGCTGGTAGATCTTGGTTCTTCAGTCTTTGCTGGTGGATCTTGGTTCTTCAGTCTTTGCTGGTGGATCTTGGTTCTTCAGTCTTTGCTGGTGGATCTTGGTTCTTCAGTCTTTGCTGGTGGATCTTGGTTCTTCAGTCTTTGCTGGTGGATCTTGGTTCTTCAGTCTTTGCTGGTGGATCTTGGTTCTTCAGTCTTTGCTGGTGGATCTTGGTTCTTCAGTCTTTGCTTGGATCTTGGATCTTGGTTCTTCAGTCTTTGCTGGTGGATCTTGGTTCTTCAGTCTTGCTGGTGGATCTTGGTTCTTCAGTCTTTGCTGGTGGATCTTGGTTCTTCAGTCTTTGTCTTTGGGGGATCTTGGTTCTTCAGTCTTTGCTGGTGGATCTTGGTTCTTCAGTCTTTGCTGGTGGATCTTGGTTCTTCAGTCTTTGCTGGTGGATCTTGGTTCTTCAGTCTTTGCTGGTGGATCTTGGTTCTTCAGTCTTTGCTGGGGGATCTTGGTTCTTCAGTCTTTGCTGGGGGATCTTGGTTCTTCAGTCTTTGCTGGTGGATCTTGGTTCTTCAGTCTTTGCTGGGGGATCTTGGGCCAGGCGTTTGTGTGTGTACTTTGTATTCTGAAATATTTACAAGTTCTAATTATGAAATTAGTTCCATCAGTGATCTTTAGCGTCTGGTGGTCCCAGGCGCATGACAGATAAGGTAGTTTTTATGTGTAACTGGCTCACTACAACTGTTAATTGCATTGTTCGTACAGCCCGTCCTCCAAACAAAGACCCAAAAGTGATTCCATCCACCCGCCAAACCCCCTGTTTATGAATGAAAAGCGGTTTACACACGACTCACAACTGCTGACGTTCGAACACTTCCGGAACAAGTGCTTCACTGACGAATTTTGTTCGAATCACAACGCTATAAATGCTTCACCCACGTACTACAAATACAAATAATCACCAACAGAACCTAAACACCTAACCTATCCTATGCCTATATATACACAATATGTCAATATATTATAATATTAATTTATACTTGAGAAAATTCCCGTTTTGAATGACCAGCATGTTAAAATTTATGAATGCGTCTGTGGGGTTGACCGCTGGGTGTAATGGACTTGAGTCGAGGACGGGTTGGTTCGTAAAATCACGACCATAACTCGTAAGATCGTGACCATAACTCGTAAGATCGTGACCATAACTCGTAGGATCGTGACCATAACTCCTAAGATCACGACCATAACTCGTAAGATCGTGACCATAACTCGTAAGATCGTGACCATAACTCGTAAGATCGTGACCATAACTCGTAAGATCGTGACCATAACTCGTAAGATCGTGACCATAACTCCTAAGATCACGACCATAACTCGTAAGATCGTGACCATAACTCGTAAGATCGTGACCATAACTCGTAAGATCGTGACCATAACTCGTAAGATCGTGACCATAACTCGTAAGATCGCGACCATAACTCGTAAGATCGCGACCATAACTCGTAAGAGGCCTGGGGATAAGGTATATAGAGTGATGTTATAGTTCGCTGAACTATAAATAGACTGGTAATGTATATATGATGTTAAACTATATGTATAACTACCTCATCCGGGCTGTGACTCGCTAATCTAAACGAATTTTTTTTGGGGGGACACAGTTTCTGAACCCATAGTATGTATATGTAATTATGTCTTCCCTCCAGGCAAGCACACGATGGAACTTTACTGACTCTGTTGCAACTTTACTGTCTCTGTTGCAACTTTACTGCCTCTGTTGCAATTTTACTGACTCTGTTGCAACTTTACTGTCTCTGTTGCAACTTTACTGCCTCTGTTGCAACTTTACTGACTCTGTTGCAACTTTACTGACTCTGTTGCAACTTTACTGCCTCTGTTGCAACTTTACTGCCTCTGTTGCAACTTTACTGACTCTGTTGCAACTTTACTGCCTCTGTTGCAACTTTACTGACTCTCTCTCTCTCTCCCCTTGTCACTGGCAGATGGACGGGTGCTGCCAACGGACATCAGGCAACGGGTGTTTGACAACGGGACGCTTATCATCTCCCAGACCCAGCGGGACACGGATGGCGGCCGCTACACCTGCCGCGCTTCCAACAGACACGGACACTCTGCCTCCAGGGACGTCACCGTCACCGTCACAGGTGGGGAGGAGGGGAGACGTCACCGTCACAGGTGGGGAGGTGGGGGACGTCACCGTCATAGGAGGGGAGACGTCACCGTCACAGGTGGGGAAGGGGGGACGTCACCGTCACAGGTGGGGAGGGGGGGGACGTCACCGTCACAGGTGGGGAAGGGGGGACGTCACCGTCACAGGTGGAGAGGAGGGGAGACGTCACCGTCACAGGTGGGGAGGTGGGGGACGTCACCGTCACAGGAGGGGAGGGGGGGGACGTCACCGTCACAGGTGGGGAGGTGGGACGTCACCGTCACAGGTGGGGAGGTGGGCTACGTCACCGTCACAGGTGGGGAGGAGGGGGACATCACCGTCACAGGTGGGGAGGAGGGGGACGTCACCGTCACAGGTGGGGAACGTCACCGGGGGCTCTTGGGACACGGTCAAGACTGTAGGTCTTGGGACACGTCAAGACTGTAGCTCTTGGGACACGGTCAAGACTGTAGCTCTTGGGACACGGTCAAGACTGTAGCTCTTGGGACACGGTCAAGACTGTAGCTCTTGGGACACGGTCAAGACTGTAGCTCTTGGGACACGGTCAAGACTGACAATGAGTGTCAGGAATGTTGACAACGAGTGTCAGGAATGTTGACAATGAGTGTCAGGAATGTTGACAATGAGTGTCAGGAATGTTGACAACGAGTGTCAGGAATGTTGACAACGAGTGTCAGGTATGTTGACAACGAGTCAGGTATATTGATAATTAACGGGAAAGCGCTTCATTTGTTTAATTTTATTTCAGATAACTTCATCTTGGAGATAATTTCAGATTATTAACTTCATTATATATTTATTATAAGCGTTAATTATATGTCCAGGAAATCCGTTAGCAGGATTAACACACTTTTTCCTGCTGAAGTTTGGAGCTCAAATATGTGTATACCTGGAAGCTCGGCGCCGCGTGATTGGCCGCGAAATTCATCTTCCGTTGAACTTCAACCAATGGCATGACACAACCATCCTCATTGGCTGCCCAGCTGGCCACTCAGCGGCCGCCACGGTCTCGGTGCCATACCCGAGTCGCTTTTTTTTCGCCTTTTCCTAAACACATTACGTTTATTTTTATGTTTTTATTGCATGTTCACGCTAGAAAAAAAAAATAAATGCAATCGTATGTTCGTACTTTTGTATAGTATTATTTGTTTTGTTGGTAGTTGAATGTGAATTTAACTTTGCAAACTAGTTCAATATCCGTGTGAAGTGGGATTTTGTGAACAGGAGTCGCAGGGGGTTAAGGGACAAAGGCAGTTCTCTGAAACTACTTCCAACCGAGGCAAGATTACCCCGTCACCCATGCCAACTGGGCAGAGTTTTTTTTTATATTTTTTTATTTGCCACAGTGATTGTGTTCCGGGGAGCTTGTGCGAGGCGCAGCGACCTAGCCGGTGTGTTGTCTGACTCGGGATAATGTTCAATGGGTTATATTTAAACTTTTGTTTGTTGAGGGATTTAAACTTGGATCCCTTGTGAAAATATACCACTGTGTGAATGGAGTATACCAGCAGTAAATGTTATATTAGCGTTATATTTAACGTTAATCAGTTTTGTCTAGGTAGTATTGTGTCACAACTGCTGGTGCTGTTTGCCTTACAACCACAACCAGCAACACAACCAGCAACACTACCATCAGCACCAACACACAAAAACAATACATTCTTGAGACAAATAAAACTTATTGTAACCAGTTCGCAATAAACGTAGATCGCTAAAATATATATGATGACATATTGGCGAGTCCATTGACTGACGTCACCACCGACACTGTAAGGGCTGAGGCCCATGAGCTATGTAAGAAAATGTCTGTCTATTTGTATGAGGTTGGAGGCCAGACACTTAGGAGTAGACTAACCCAACCTTGTTGGTTGAATGGTCTGGGGTACGGGACGGACATAGGCTGGTAGACGTCCGTCTTATTCAACTGATTAAAAATAGGTTGGACCAAATGGTGACCTCTTAGCTCTTGGCACACTACATAATCGGCCACAAGAGGCTGGCCGAGTCCCTAGATTTTTTATCTATGAGTTAAATATCTCTTGATATATACTATATATGATTTATATAGTTCTGAGCTATATATCTCTTGATATATATGAGTTAGATATGTAAATTCAACATATTAAATCCTAGCCAGTTTGGCTTCCGATCCAGAAAAAGTACCAGCGATGCCATTATTAGTTTGCTTGATATAAACCACACAACTCTGGACAAGAATGGGCTCCCAATTGGCCTCTTCATGGACCTAAGAAAGGCCTTTGATACCGTAAGTCATAATTACCTCCTACTTGAACTTCATCATTATGAAATCCAAGGGCTCACTCAGAATTATATATGATCATATCTTAATAACAGACACTAATATGTGGTCATCAATGATACAACCTCTCCCAGTCTACCATTAACCATAGGGTGCCACAAGGCAGTATCTTTGGGCCTCTCTTATATACATCAATAACTAGCCAAAATGCCTCTAAGGTTCTTAAACCTTATACTAATTCCTGACGATACTACCTTCATTTGTTCAAAGCCTAGCCAACATATTGGCTAGGATTGTACATTCCTTCTCAGGTTGTAGACCTTACTCTAAATATAGTGATGACAGGGTGTGTGTAAAAGTCAAATTAATGCTTAGCAGTTTATGAATGTTTCTGGATTTTACTGGTTTTAGTGTAATATGTCTCATTAAATTGATGCGTTTCTGGGCTTCATTATATAGAGCTGATGTAAAAAATTATCGTTTAACCTCATGGAAAAGAAGGTTGTTATTCAGCTGTACAGTCACTGGTCTGCCACAGTCGGCATTGTGGCACAGTACACAGTCTATTGTAGAGGTCAAACAGGGAGACCTCATCTTCAAACTAACATGTTTAATTTTCAGAAAGTTCTACACAGAGCAACAAAAATCCTCCCAGAACTAGTCAACTCTCAAACCACAGGGCTCACAACGCTACAACCCAAACATGACAGGCCGGATCTCATCAAAACTTTTAAAATATTGAACAAGTTTTAAGGTTATTATTCCAGACCACTTCTCTAGAAGGTCAAATGTATCGAGCAACAGCTTCAAGCTCAGTGAGCCTCTTCACCCATAGACTTATAAACCCATTGAAATGCCTACTCGCTAAAGCTGTAAATACCAAGACTTACCTTTCAAATCCAGATAGAAAATAGTCTCATGAACAGCTGTCGGCTTCCTGTCCCAGTCAGTACCACTTGAGAGATAGTGGCCTTTAGATAAACTCAGTTAAATTCAGGTATATATTCATTTATACCTGATCACCTAAAGGAATATCACCTAAAGGAACTTTAGGTGATATTCCTTTTAAATCTTCGTCGTGTAGTTAGAGAGAGAATGACAGAACAAGTTACTTAGTGAGCGGGACCCCCACTAACAGCTGCTCCCCTCCTCAGTGCCCCCGAAGATCATGCCCTTCTCCTTCGCCAACAACATCCTGAGTGAGGGCAACCGCGCCTCCCTCACCTGCCAGATCCTCGAGGGTGACCTTCCTGTCAGCTTCAGGTGAGACTCACACACTCCAACACATGTTACACACACACACACACACACACACACACACACACACACACACACACACACACACACACACACACACACACACACAGACACACACACACACACACACACACACACACACACACACACACACACACACACACACACACACACACACACACACACACACACACACACACACACACACACACACACACACACACACACACACACACACACACACACACACACACACACACACACACACACACACACACACACACACACACACACACACACACACACACACACACACACACACACACACACACACACACACACACACACACACACACACACACACACACACACACACACACACACACACACACACACACACACACACACACACACACACACACACACACACACACACACACACACACACACACACACACACACACACACACACACACACACACACACACACACACACACACACACACACACACACACTCGGTGTACCGTATGCTGCCAGTTTACAGTTTGTTGGACTGAGCTTTAGCTCTTGTATCCTGCCTTTCTAGTTGTTTGTCATGTAATGGTCATTCTCTTGCACTTTCATTCCTTGTCATTTCCGCTTTTACGGCTGGATATCTATAGCCTCAGTTTTACTGTCCTACTTCATTCCACCTGATCATTCTCAATAGATCTAGATACACTTAAATTTAAGCATAAAAAAGTTGTTCTTGATATCGTCATTCCATAGATGCCCTAGATGTCTGTGAATATCAGTACTTGAAAGTTGTCTGCATGCCTCTACTCAGTTCTTCACGTCCTCAATTATGGATCCCTGGTTCTATCTCCGGGTGGGACATTAATATTTGGATACGTTGCCTCTCACCTGGTGCCTCTGTTCACCTAGCAGTAAACAGGTACCAAGAAGTTAAACTACTGTTGTGGGTCGCATCCTGGGGAAAACTAATACTTTCCCCTAGGAAGAACCACGATACGATCCAAAGTACTCAAAGAGCTTGGTAATCTAAATTCCTATAAGGTAAGGTGATTATCAGGAGAAAGTGTTAAGCCATTATGACTATATAGCATTTGGAAGAAATGTGAGGATAAGGATTTGGGATAGGACGGAGGAAAGGAATGGTGTTGACCAGACCACACACTAGAAGTTGAAGGGACGACGACGTTTTGGTCCGTCCTGGACCATTCTCAAGTCGATTGTGAATGGTGCCGAAAGGAATGGTGCCAATTTACAGTAAGCCACATACTGTATTGTATTCATGTGATCCGAATAAATTTTTGTTTGAGTTCTTGACTTGTTGGCACAGTGTCACAGTGTTACAGTGGCACAGTGTCACAGTGGCACAGTGTCACAGTGGCTGGAGTCACTGGGTAAACAGTTGGAGTAACCAAGGAAGTACAGTATGTCACAATGCAGGACTGAAAACAGGAGATGCCTTTTTCACCCATTGAGTTATAAGCCCACGGGACCACCTATCCACTGACGCCCTAAATGCCAAAACACAGTTGAATTTCAAAATTTAGCTCAATAGAATCAAGCTGATGGCTTCGTGTCCTCGTCGAGGCCACTAGAGATAGTGACCTTCAGGTAAATTCAGGTAAACGACAGAAGTACCCAGGTAAGCAGCAGGTGTAACTGGGTACATTTATTTATTTATTTATTTATTTTATTTATTTATTTATTTATATACAAGAAGGTACATTGAGTTTGTGAGAATACATAGCATGGTATTTACAATCTTGTAAAGCCACTAGTACGCGCAGTTTTCGGGCAGGTCCTTAATTTAATCTAACAGATAATTTTAAGTAGGTAAATTCTAGCAGAATTAATAAAATGATAACAGATACATTGCAAGAAAGAAAAAATGAGATAAGAGAGATTAGTAAGTATATTAAAGCACATTGGTATATTAAAGCTCTGATTGATTACATTGACAACTTGATTGGTAATTTAAACAAGATTAATAGACACCATACAGCAGATTGACAGCACATATAAGACAGCAATGATCACAATGGTAAAGATGTTCAGATTGGGTACATAAAGATTGGGAGATTGGGTAGCAATAGATACAGTGCAATTTTAAAGCAAAAGGTAAAAAACTATGAAGATGAAATTAGGTACCTTTTAGTTTTGTTTTTGAATGACGCAAAAGTTGGACAGCTTTTCAATTCGTTAGGGAGCGAGTTCCATAGACTGGGTCCCTTTATTTGCATAGTGTTTACACAGATTAAGTTTGACTCTGGGGATATCAAAGAGATATTTATTTCTGGTGTGGTGATAATGGGTCCTATTACATCTGTCCAGGGAGAGTTTCAGAGCAGGATTTGCATTTAAGAACAGGGTTTTGTAAATGTAGTTGACACAAGAGAATTTGTGGAATGAGATTATGTTTAGGCTGCGAGCAGCCGCATCCAACAGCCTGGTTGATCAGTCCAGCAACCAGGAGGCCTGGTCGACGACCGGGCCACGGGGACGCTAAGCCCTGGAAGCACCTCAAGGTAACCTCAAGGTAAGGTAGCATGTTTAGGGAGTTAAACAAGGGGGGCTGAGTGTTGTTTGAAAGCAGAATTTGTTATTATTCTGATAGCAGATTTTTGCTGGGAGATGATGGACTTGAGGTGGTTTGCAGTGGTTGAACTCCATGCACAGATACCATAATTAAGATAGGGATAGATTAGTGCATAATATAGAGAGATTAGAGCAGAGTTAGGTACATAATATCTGATTTTGGAGAGTATACCAACTGTTTTAGAGACTTTCTTATTTATGTGTTGTATGTGGGTACTGAAGTTGAGTCTCTTGTCTAGGAATAGGCCAAGAAACTTTACATCATTTTTATTGCTAATGTTTACATTGTCTATCTGAAGCTGAATTGCATTTGTAGATTTGCTTCCAAATAAGATGTAGTCGGTCTTTTATATGTTAAGTGTTAGTTTGTTGGTTTACATCCATAAGTGGACTTTTTTTAGTTCATTATTAACAACATTATTTAGTGTATGTGGGTTGGGGTTAGAGTAGATGAGGGTAGTAGCATCAGCAAACAAAATAGGTTTCAGAATGTTAGAGACATCAGGCAGATCATTGATGTATATAAGATATAGGAGAGGTCCCAAGATGCTGCCCTGTGGCACTCCAACAGTTATTGGTAGAATGGGAGAGGTTATAATATTGATGGCTACACATTGCATGGTGTCTATTACTAAGATAGGATTGGATATAGTCCAGGGCATGGCCTCGGATTCCATAATGATGGAGTTTACGTAAGAGGTAATTGTGATTAACAGTATCAAAGGCCTTTCTCAGGTCAATGAAGACTCCAATCGGAAACTCATTTTTGTCAAGAGCTGAGTAAATTATATCAAGGAGACTAATAACTGCATCGTTGGTACTCTTTTGAGAGCGGAAGCCAAACTGACAGGGGCTAAGAATGTCGAATTTTATGAGATAGGAGTAGAGCTGTTTGTAGATAATTTTTTCAAATATTTTTGATAGTATGGGTAGGTTCGATATTGGTCTATAGTTGTTTATGTCTGCCGGATTACCTCCTTTATGAACTGGCGTTACTCTTGCTTTTTTTAAGGATATCAGGGAAGGTATGACACTCAAGGGATTTGTTGAACAGCAGAGCTATAGGTGGCGCAAGGGCATGGGAGGCGCTCTTGTATACTATGGATGGGATTTCACTGATGTTCCCAGCTTTGGTATGGAGTAAGGTATGGATGGTTCCCAGCTTTGGTATGGAGTAAGGTATGGATGGTTCCCACCTTGGTGTGGAGTAACATGGCGGGAGCAAATGGTGGGAGTAACCGAGTAAATGGTGGGAGTAACCGAGTAAATGGTGGGAGTAACCGAGTAAATGGCGGGAGTAACCGAAGAAAGTTGTGGGAGAAACCGGGTAAATGGCAGGAGTTATGCAAATTACAGTACAGTACTGTATGTAGGTTATGGTGTCAAAAATTACAAATTTGCTAATTTTTGGACTGGTAAGAAATTTGGCTAATACAAATGTTTAGCTAACTTAAATGGGGGTGGTCCCTTTATGATATAGATTTTCGAGAGTAGACAGTACCGGCTTCCTGTCCCCCAATGACACAAATTAGGTGTAAGCTGGGAAAACTATTGAGGCACTACATAGAAAAAATGCATTATGTCTCACAATGATTTACCTTTCATTTGATTCTCCACAGATGGGAGAAGGATGGGGGGCCAGTACCTATATACGATGGCATCACCACTCGTCTCTTGGATGACTATCAGACACAACTGGTCATTGACCGTATTTCCTCCCGGCATAACGGCGAGTATACCTGCCTTGCTTCAAATGCAGCTGCCACCAGGCACTACACTGCCAAACTTACAGTTAATGGTTAGTGTGTCACATTTCTTGTTTTGTTTACTAATTTTGATCAATTTTATTCTCTGGTTGGATAGTGCAGCCATTTATGATATATACATGGCATTCTACCACCTTCAAACAAACTACAGGGACCCTTTCTATTCACTTTGTAACATACACCATACGATCTTTCTCATTTGCTTTCCTAGACATTTCAATGCAAGTATCTGATCAATAATGATAATAATTTATTTAGGAAAAGTACATACAGTACATAGTTGCAGAGTTACAGTACAAACATTGTTAGATTTAAAGATAGAGGTAGTACATACAATACCTAAAGCCACTAGTACGCATAGCGTTTCGGGCAAGGTGAGGTGGGGAAAAAAACCCACTTAGACTAAAACTTAATAGTAATTGAGCTTAAAGTATAAATTGCATTGAAAGAAAAAAAAATAATTAAAGATAAAATAAGGGGGAACATGGTAGAAAATAGCCAATATACAAGTTGGTCAACAAACAGCATTTTTTTTTTATAATAATAGTAAGACATGGGTTGACATTTAGAAGTAAGGTAGGTTACATGGAGTTAATTAGGTAGTACTTAGTTTTCATCTTAAACTGGTTGAGAGAGGTACAGTCTTTGACATGGTTGGGAAGGTCATTCCACATTCTGGGTCCCTTGATTTGTAGAGCATTTCTAGTTTGATTAAGTCATACTCTTGGAATATCAAAAAGGTATTTGTTTCTGGTGTGGTGCTCATGGGTTCTGTTACAACCTTCTAGGAAGCATTGAAAGGCAGGATCAAAACATCCTCATCCAACACAAAACTCACTTTGTTCATCACTGTACAGTATCTGTTGTTTTCTGTAATCTTTGTCATTACTGTACTTCATGTAATATGTTAATATTATTATGAGTGAACTAATTTTAAAAGAGGTATTTGAAAAATACACAAAGTCACTGTTTATCAGTAGATTGAACATTCATGGAACAAAAAGGCAATTGACATTTGGTATTTGTTGATAACTTCACATCTCATCTCCCTTACTTATACCATGGAGCTCATGATGGGGAAGGTCTTCTGTTATATACAATTTCAACAACCGGAGGGGTAATGCAGCACTTTACACAGGTTGCTATTACAGGGTCTGATAGCTTCAGGACTATAAGGGCTGCTTGATCCAGGACAGACTTGGTTTCTAATCAAAGGGAAATAGTGTTTGTTGTGAGTGGTTCCTGTGTATGCAAACAAATGGGGTCAGCTGTTAAGATTTTCAACCTTGGTTTCCCTTTTTGTGAGTAGGCCTCACCATTATGGCCCATGGCTTCACTGTAGGACCAATTGACCAATTCTCCACCATAAATAAGTGGCTATTTTCTGGGAAAAATATCTTATTGTTCCCTAATGGTTATTTGCTTTTATATTTCCCATTACAGTGACTTGTTTGAGTTTCCCTTGTAGTACAGTACATTAGTTTTACCAGTTCACCTGCAGTAGAGTGCAGTTTACTGATTTTTCCTGTTTGTTATTATAGTACAGTACAGTATTTTAATTGATGTTTAATTATCCACAGAATGTTTTAATTCTTCCACTGTTTTTTAGCAGTGCTACAATCTCTCCAACAGTTTCCTCAAATTAAGCATTTGATTACCCAGACATACTCCATAGTAAGTTGGCTCGCCTTGTTCCAACAATAACGTCCTGATTTATATCTTCCACAATTTTGCTGAGAGTATTTTCTCATTGTCTGACAGTCCCACCACACTGGGTGACGGAACCTCAGGACAGTGGAGCGGCACAAGGTAGCACGGTCACGCTCAACTGCCAGGCGGATGGTTATCCTTCACCCACTGTCACCTGGAAGAAGGCCATTATGGGTCAGTGTTGACATCCAGTATTATTATCATATTCATTTACATGATTGGACAACACAACTTGTTGGATTGATATCAACTTTGATCTATTAGTTATGTGTGTGTATTTGATGTAAATTGATTACAGTACTTTACTCGTGTACACAAAGTATTTTTAAATTATAATTCTTTCATGGAATATTTTCATGTTGCGTATTTTGCTTTGTGGTAATAAAGGTTTATGTATTTTGCCACACTACTGTATATATTTTGTTACTTAATATACTGGGTATATAAATTTTATGTGTAACTAAACTTATATATACAGTACTAGTATGACATCATTTTTGAACATTTCAAAAAAAATAAAAAAAATTCAAATGTTTATTCAGGTAAAGTACATACATACAAGGTGTGATACAAACATTGATGGATTTATAGATAGAGCTAGTACATACAATACCTAAAGCCACTATTACGCAAAGTGTTTTGGGCAGGAAAAACACTAAGACTAAAACTTAATACTAATTAAAATTAAAGTATAAAGTGTGTTGAGAAAATATAAAATTAAAAAAGGGGGGAACATGGCCGAAAAACAGCAAATATACAATTTGGTCGACAAACAGCATTGTTTAAAATAGCAGACATGGGTTGACATTTAGGGGTAAGGTAGGTTACATGGAGTTAATTAGGTAGTGCTTAGTTTTTATCTTAAACTGGTTGAGAGAGGTACAGCCTTTAACATGATTGGGAAGGTCATTCCACATTCTGGGTCCCTTGATTTGTAGAGCATTTCTAGTTTGATTAAGTCGTATTCTTGGAATATCAAAAAGGTATTTGTTTCTGGTGTGGTGCTCAAGGGTTCTGTTACAACCTTCAAGGAAGCTTTTAAGGTCAGGATTGGCATTACAGTTCAGCGTTTTATATATATATAATATGCATGAGAGGATGTGCAGTGACTTAATATCTAACATATTCAGAGATTTGAGTAGGGGTACAGAGTGATGTCTGGGGCCAGAGTTGAATATTGTCTTAATATGGGCCATTGCTCCCCCATGCCTCTCTGAGGGGGCCAGGTTCTGGCTCGTGGTCCCTGGTACACCCACAGAACTCCATACACATGACTGATGCCAAAGTCTGACATTAGCATATTAGCCTGGATAGCTCCGGGGAGCCGACTGGGCTCCCCCCAGAAAAATTATTCAGCTATGTCATAGAAACAACAATCTTGACAAGACCTTTCAAATGTGAAGATGTCCTCATTCCTCGCATTTCTTTGATTCCAACAGATATGCCATTTCAATTTCAATTATTGCAATTCCCAATTCAATTGGCATTTGCAATCACCATAAACAAAGCTCAGGGTCAATCTTTAGAATTGTGCGGTTTAGATCTAGACACGGATTGCTTCTCATATTGGAGAGGTGACAGGTAAGCTTCTAACATGGATGAAAAATTTCCTAACTGACAGAAAAATGAGGGCTGTATTCAGAGGCAAGGTATCGGATTGGAGGAATGTCACGAGTGGAGTACCACAGGGTTCAGTTCTTGCACCGGTAATGTTCATTGGCTACATAAACGATCTACCAGTGGGAATACAGAATTATATGAACATGTTTGCTGATGATGTTAAGATAATAGGGAAGATAAGAAACCTAGATGATTGTCATGCTCTTCAAGAAGACCTGGACAAAATAAGTATATGGAGCAACACTTGGCAAATGGAATTTAATGTGAATATATGCCATGTTATGGAATGTGGAATTGGAGAACATAGACCCCACACAACCTATAAATTATGTGAGAAATCTTTAAAGAATTCTGACAAAGAAAGGGATCTAGGGGTGGTTCTAGATAGAAAACTGTCACCTGAGGACCACATGAAGAACTTTGTGCGAGGAGCCTATGCTACACTTTCCAACTTCAGAATTGCTTTTAAATACATGGATGGATAAATAGTAAAGAAATTGTTCACGACTTTTGTTAGACCAAAGCTGGAATATGCAGCGGTTGTATGGTGCCCATATCTTAGAAGCACATCAACAAACTGGAAAAGGTGCAATGACATGCCACTAAGTGGCTCCCAGAACTGAAGGGCAAGAGCTACGAGGAGAGGTTAGAGGCATTAAATATGCAAAAACTAGAAGATAGAAGAAAAAGAGGGGATATGATCACTTCATTCAAAATAATAACAGGAATTGATAAAATTGATAGGGAAGAATTCCTGAGACCCGGAACTTCAAGAACAAGAGGTCATAGATTTAAACTAATGAAACAAAGCTGCTGGAGAAATATAAGAAAATTCACTTTCGCAAACAGAGTGGTAGACGGTTGGAACAAGTTAGGTGAGAAGGTGGTGGAGGCCAAGATCGTCAGTAATTTCAAAGTGTTATATGACAAAGAGTGCTGGGAAGACGGGACACCACAAGCGTAGCTCTCATCCTGTAACTACACTTAGGTAATTACATGGGACAATTATAGGTTGTGTGTTCTAGAGTCAGCAAACCAGACAATCTCTATATCTCCACAGACAATAGAACAACAAAAAATATTGTATACCTACAAGCATTGTGAAATTAAACATATTAGAAATGTTCACTTTCTCTTTTCTTTCTTTTCCATTTAACCAGACTGAGCCACAGCAACGTGTGGCGGGTACACCTAATAGATAATAAAAACCAGTGCTACAAATTTCATAACTATAAATTAATGAAAGTTTTGGTTAAATACTTTTTTGGAAGTACTGTACTGTACTGTATGGTTGTTGATTTATGGAACATATTACAGTACTTGGTAATATAATAATAAGCAAATAGGGCTGTAGATTTGTGTAATAAATTTGTGAGTACAGTAATATAATTGCATAGGCTCATTGGAGTGTTTCAAATGTAGGTTAGATATATATGATTGTTTCTTATGTTCATATTTTTTAAATTTATTTTATGTTCATATTTTTTAAATTATCAATAAAATGTTGACAACTAAATTTAATAGTACTTGTAGCATTTATATTTTCAAATGAGTAAAATGTACATTATATTCTTACTTCAGATGAATCAAGTGTATTTTTTGTTTAATACATATTGAAAATGCAACTGAATATTGTGCTTTAAGAGTGTCACTTACTGGCACTGTTCACTGACAGATGACAATGATAGTAGTGGCAGTGGCAGCAGTGTGGGTGGCAGTGGTGGCAGCAGTGGACAAGGGGACTACCAAGAATTAATGTATGGAGCACATGTGGAAGTGTTTAATAATGGGTCGGTGGTGTTTAGGAATGTTCAGAAGGCAATGGAGGGAAAATATCTTTGCCAGGCACGTAATGGGATTGGCGCAGGACTCAGTAAAGTCGTCTACCTTACTGTAAATGGTAAGTTTATACAAATATTTTTTATCGTTGTTTAGTTTTGAACTTTAGGCTTGGTTTGGCCACTGGATACAGTTGTTGTTGTTACGCCCAAGGGTGGGGAGTGCTGCGGGTGCAAGCATGCATATGTCTCATTTTCCGTCCTTCTGTTAACCCAAGTCTGCTCATGCAACCAGTTCTATAATTTCCAAGTGATATACAGTGTTTTAATTGATTGGAATTGTTTTTAACACTTGCGGTAAATTCTTGTTTCCAATTTGGGGGTCATATATGAGTCACATACATGGAAAATGGGAATACAATAATATATTGCACGTTTAAATTTGTGTTAATGCAAGTGTTGCCTCAGCTCCAGCACACTTTCCGGAGAAGATGGGTCGAGTGGTAGTGAGACTGGGTCAGACAGCAATGTTGCGTTGCCCAGCCCATGGTGACCGCCCCATAGATATTCTGTGGTCAGTTGAAGGTCGTCGCCTAGACCCTCATGCTGATCCTAGGTAAGGCATAGATTACTTATAATGCATGATCCTTTTTTGTTTTTTTCTACTTGCATCCCAAAACCTTGTTCTCCTTGGGCACACACACTTCCTTGAAGAAAGTGGCTTCATTGATACTCTAGGGCACTTACAAGACTGTGCCAGAATTGTCCTTCTGTTAATATGGCTATAGAGCACTGTATATCTTTCAGTATATTTGCAAGTTTCTAGATATTCAGAATTTTAATATTAGAGCAAGAAGTCCCATACGTGGCCCATTTCTGCAACGTATGGGCATTTAATAGGCCTTTTGCAGTTTCCTCGATTCTTAAAACAAAAGGTAAATGATGTCAGAAGCAGATTCACCGTAGATTTGATCAAGGAACACATGACATAAAGGAACAGTGGGAAAGGAATCTTTTCTGGGGAGAGCCCCTACGGCTCCCAGGAGCTATCCATGGCTGATATGGATACCCTAACTATTTTGCATCAGTCGATGTGGGTGGAGTTCTAGGCCTACCGGGGACCACGAGCCAGAACCTGGCCCCCTCAGAGAGGCACGGGGAGCAATGGCCCATAGAAATGCACATGTGATTTGGAGCATTCTATATCTGCCATCGACCAGGACAGGCACCCAGAAAGGTAAGCGCCACAAAACAAACCCCTATTCTGGTTAAACACCAAAAATCGACAAACAGTGGACAGAACTCCCCCAGGAAAACGAACTAACAAGCATGACGTCACGCGAGCCGCGCCGCATGTCTGCGCGGCTCCCCCCGCGCCGGGAGGGGGAAGGGGGAGCCCCAGACCCCCGCGCCGGCGATCCCCGCCCCAGTTCCTCGGCTGATGGGATCATGCACGGTCGTGTGGCTCCAGCTCCAGTCTTGTCTCAGTGCTGTGACTTGTTTGCAGTGCTGCTCTTACGGTGGTTGTGTGAGCTGGGAGTAGTATTCTCAGGTACTCGGGCTGCATGTGCTTAGGGTCACCTTCCCTGAGTGCCCTGTAAGTACCGCCCTTGGGGCTTGGGGTTGCCTTCCACAAGTCACCTTGGGTCTACCTCTGTTGGCTTTTCGCTGCTTGGCGGTTGGCCGCCCCGAGGGTTTGGGGGTTTCACTCCCTTGTTTACCTTGGGGTAAGTGGTAGTTATCGCACTGGTGGGGCGCAGGGTACTGCGTAGCTAGTTTTTACCTACGACAGCGGCCGGCTGTGTTCCTTCTGGGTACGTTGTCCACTTGTGTGGTTTTTCTTTTATTTTTGTTTTTGCCTGGTAGGGGGGTCTTCCTTGTGTTCCCCCCCCCTTATATTAGGTTCGTTTGTGTGGTGGCACCCCCTGCTTTGCCCTCGCGAGTGGACACGTCCTGTGGGTTCAGCTTTAGCAGTTTGCTTGGTAGTTTGGGGCGCCGGTTAGCAGTACCCTGCCTGGGATAACCCTTAGCAGACCCAGTCTAGGGGCCCTGGGAAACCCCCCGGGGGCTCTCGGGTCCGATAGTGGAGACCCTTGCGTCCCCTCTCGCTTTGGGCGAGTTGAGGGTTGCTCTGTCCCTTTGTCTCAGGGTGACTCTCTCCCTGTTTTTGCCTCCGTTATGCTGCCTGTTGGGTAATCTTGAGGTTATCTTGAGATGATTTCGGGGCTTTAGTGTCCCCGCGGCCCGGTCCTCGACCAGCCCTCCACCCCCAGGAAGCAGCCCGTGATAGCTGACTAACACCCAGGTACCTATTTTACTGATAGGTAACAGGGGCATAGGGTGAAAGAAACGCTGCCCATTGTTTCTCGCCGGCGCCCGGGATCGAACCCGGGACCACAGGATCACAAGCCCAGCGTGCTGTTCGCTTGGCCGACCGGCTCCCCTCCCCGGCTGGGTCGGTGACACATTCGACCCTTGAGTCCTGCGAGCTTTGTTGCTTGTTCGTGACTCCATTCACCCAGTCTGCTGATGAATTCCCGTGGGTGCAGGCAGCTCGCGCCTTGCAGGGTAGAATGTTGCAACGCGCTCTGGTTTGTCGCTTCCCCGGTCGCCCCGATGCTGCCCCGATGCTGCCCCGCTTGTGTAGGGACCCAGACTTGAGTGGTTTTGGTCGCTTCGGCCTTGGTTCCTTCAACGCCCTTGTTTTTCCCCCTCCTGCTTCCGGCCCCTACGCATCTGCAGGCTTCAGGGTCGGGGCGGGGTTAGAGGTTCTGAGACTTGGGCAGTTTCGGGGGTTGCCCCGTCCGGGGTAGCTGCGGAGGCATTCGAGTCTTCCTCCGGCCGATGCTCCGGGGTTTTGACCAGTGGGCCCCCTTCTCTTTCAGCTCTCTCGGCTGCCCCGGCTTTTTCTTGAGGCCGGGGCTTTGGAGGTAGACTCGGCCCCGGGGCCTGGTGCAGAGGCTCCTGGGGTTGTGGAGGAGCGGTCTTGGGGGCCTTGGGCTCCATTGCGCCCCGCCTGGATTTCCGTCCTTCTGAGCGGGGCTTACTGTTACGAGGAGTGGGGTTTTCTTTCCCCCTCTGTGTACGATTTGGGCTTGGGTTCTGCTCCTCCCCGGGTTCGGTTCCGTGTCCCTGTGGTTTCTTCGGTTCCGTCTTCAGGAGGTTTTCGGCTAACTGCATCTCTTCGCCTGCGATGCGGTTGGCCTTTGCGGCTTCCTCCTGCGTGTCCCAGAGTTTGCCTCCATCCTGGTTCCTTCTGTTCTGGACAGGTTGGGCTCCTTTTGGGCTCCTTTTGGCCGTTGGGCTCCTTTTGGCCGTTGGGCTCCTTTTGGCCGTTGGGCTCCTTTTGGCCGTTGGGCTCCTTTTGGCCGTTGGGCTCCTTTTGGCCGTTGGGCTCCTTTTGGCCGTTGGGCTCCTTTTGGCCGTTGGGCTCCTTTTGGCCGTTTGGGCTCCTTTTGGCCGTTTGGGCTCCTTTTGGCCGTTTGGGCTCCTTTTGGCCGTTTGGGCTCCTTTTGGCCGTTTGGGCTCCTTTTGGCCGTTTGGGCTCCTTTTGGCCGTTTTGGGCTCCTTTTGGCCGTTTTGGGCTCCTTTTGGCCGTTTTGGGCTCCTTTTGGCCGTTTTGGGCTCCTCCTCGCCTTGTTGGGCTCCTCCTCGCCTTGTTGGGCTCCTCCTCGCCTTGTTGGGCTCCTCCTCGCCTTGTTGGGCTCCTCCTCGCCTTGTTGGGCTCCTCCTCGCCTTGTTGGGCTCCTCCTCGCCTTGTTGGGCTCCTCCTCGCCTTGTTGGGCTCCTCCTCGCCTTGTTGGGCTCCTTCTCGCCTTGTTGGGCTCCTTTCTTTCGCGTCCTGCGCATACGCCGTGGGAGTTTGTTTTGGTTCCGGGCGGTGTGCACATGTGTTCTGCTCCAATTCTTTCGGGGGGCTTCGCCTCTCGCTCTTTTCTTATTCCCATCCGTTCCCCGTTGCTTTGGGGGTGTTCTGGGGTGCCGCTGTGTGGAATTCATGAGGTTTTTTCCCTGCGTTCTAGGGTGGGGAGCCTCCTTCGCTGCTCCCCTCCTCCTCCTCTCCAGCATGGGCGCACTGGCCTCCTCTGGCGGATACGGACTCGCATGCTTGCGTCATGACCCTTCAGGGCCTATGTTCTGCAGGTGAGTTGGTGCGGTTTTGGCGTCTCCTTCGTCCTGACGCTGTTTTTGTTTTTGGAAATGGGAATGGGTGTACATACGTACTTGAGAACATGGACCGTATCACCCGAGGTGCCTACTGCAGGGCTATTATTTATTTATTTATTTATTTATTTATTTATTTATTTATTTATTTATTTATTTATTTATTTATTTATATATATACAAGAAGGTACATTGGGTTTGTGAGAATACATTGGATAGTACAGTATTTACATTCTTGTAAAGCCACTAGTACGCACAGCGTTTCGGGCAGGTCTTAATCTAGCAGATAATTTTAAGTAGGTAATTTCTATCAGAATTGATAAATGATAGATACATTGCAAGAGAAAATGAGATGAGAGCTTAGTAAGTATATTAAAGCACATAGTTATATTAAAGCTCTGATTGATTACATTGACAGCTTGATTAGTAATTTAAAACAAGATTAAGACACCATACAGCAGATTGACAGCACATATAAGACAGCAATGATCAGTGGTAAAGATGTTCAAATTGGGAACATAAAGGTTGGGAGATTGGGTAGCAATAGATAGTGCAATTTTAAGGCAAAAAGTGAAAAACTATGAAGATGAAATTAGGTACTTTTTAGTATTGATTTTGAATGATGTAAAAGTTGGACAGCTTTTCAATTCAGTAGGGAGTGAGTTCCATAAACTGGGTCCCTTTATTTGCATAGTGTTTACACAGATTAAGTTTAACTCTGGGGGATATCAGAGATATTTATTTCTGGTGTGGTGATAATGGGTCCTATTACATCTGTCCAGGAAGAGTTTCAGACAAGGATTTGCATTTAAGAACAGGGTTTTGTAAATGTAGTTGACACAAGAGAATTTATGGAGTGAGATTATGTTTAGCATGTTTAGGGAGTTAAACAAGGGGGCTGAGTGTTGTCTGAAAGCAGAATTTGACATTATTCTGATAGCAGATTTTTGCTGGGTGATGATGGACTTGAGGTGGTTTGCAGTGGTTGAACCCCATGCACAGATACCATAGTTGAGATAGGGATAGATTAGTGCATAATATAGAGATGAGAGCAGAGTTAGGTACATAATATCTGATTTTGGAGAGTATACCAACTGTTTTAGAGACTTTCTTAGTTATGTGATGTATGTGGGTACTGAAGTTGAGTCTTTTGTCTAGGAATATGCCAAGAAACTTTCCATCACTTTTACTACTAATGTTTACATTGTCTATCTGAAGCTGAATTGCATTTGTAGATTTGCTTCCAAATAGGATGTAGTCGTCTTTTCTATGTTAAGTGTTAGTTTGTTGGTTGACATCCATAAGTGGACTTTTTTTTAGTTCATTATTAACATCATTTAGTGTATGTGGGTTGGGGTTGGAGTAGATGAGGGTAGTATCATCAGCAAACAAAATAGGTTTCAGAATGTTAGACATTAGGCAGATCATTGATGTATATAAGAAATAGGAGAGGTCCCAAGATGCTGCCCTGTGGCACTCCAACGGTTATTGGTAGAGTGGGAGAGATTATATTATTGATGGCTACACATTGGTGTCTATCACTAAGATAGGATTGGATATAGTCCAGTGCATGGCCTCGGATTCCATAATGATGGAGTTTACATAAGAGGTAATCGTGATTAACAGTACCAAAGGCCTTTCTCAGGTCAATGAAGAGTCCAATTGGAAACTCATATTTGTCAAGGACTGAGTAAATTATATCAAGGAGACTAATAATTGCATCGTTGGTACTCTTTTGAGAGCGGAAGCCAAACTGACAGGGGCTAAGAATGTCGAATTTTATGAGATAGGAGTAGAGCTGTTTGTAGATAATTTTTTCAAATATTTTTGATAGTATGGGTAGGTTTGATATTGGTCTATAGTTGTTTGTCTGCTGGTTTATTAGCCCGTACGGGGCAGCTCTTGTTCTCTCCACCTGATTTGGAATCAGGATTCACGTATGGGATGTGGATGTTAAGTCACTGCTCACCAATGTGCCATTGAATGAGAGAATTGCAGTGATGACGGGCAAGGTTTATCAGGATTCAGTACACGCACTTGACATCTCAGAAAGCACACCTAGGCATACTAAGCAAAACACATTAGGCCCAATAAAATTGTAACATGAACTTTGGAGAGCAAATTTTTCAGTGTCTTTCCAAAGTGAAGAACACAAGAGTTACAGAAAATTCATGCTAGAACCTTATACAGTGTACTGTATAACCGTTTTGGCCATATACAGTAACACATGCATATACATAGAGTATGTATTTATGCCTTAATATGTTATTTATGTATATGCATACTTTAATAGCGAACAAGACATAAAAGAACATACCATGTTCCTCGGTTCACGGGTGTCTGCGGGTGGCCTCTTGTCCTTTCCGAGGTGGTTCCTGCCTGTACTCCTCCTGCCCCTCTCCTATGCTTGTCTAACCTTGCTTGAGTTCGGGGCCCCGCTTCCACCTTGTTCCGCAGTGCAACGGTGGGGCTCCCCTGTCGTTTGCCTGTCGGGCGGATTGTGCGCTTCTTGAGCACTCTCATCTCTGTTCTTGGGGCGGTGTACGGGGTCAGCCCATGTTGGGCTGCCTAATGTGTTCCTTTGATTGCCTGTTACACTGCACACGTTTCTTCGTCCTTGTGGCTCTGTTGGGTGCTCAGTTTCCGCCTGTGTCCCCTTGTGTGCCACTCGTGTACAATTTATCTATCTTCTGTTGCTTCCTTGGGGAGTGTGGAGACGTTTTGCTGCAGTTTTGGTACTGCAGCTGCGTGTCGGGGTTGGTTGTGGTGTTATGTTCGGCCTTTCCTTGCCGGTCTTGCTGTGCCGGGCTTGGTCTTTCAATGTTCCTTGGATTCTGTCTTGTCCTCGCCTCATTGTGCTGGCTGGGGATGAGCTTGAGGTCTTCGTCTCGCCCCTCGCCTATCCTCTGGTTTCGGTTCAAGTTCCAGAGCCTAGTAGGCTTCCTTTCTTCGTGTTTTTCACGGCTGCCCCAGGGTTTTTCTTGACGCTGGAGCTTTGAGGGGACAGCTCGGCCCCGGGGCCTGCAGGATGGGTTCCCGGGGCAAGGGTGGGGCTCACGTGAGGGGCCTCAGGCCCCGTTGGTCTCCGCCGGGGTCTTCTACCCCTCGGGGAGGGACTTGCAGTTTGTGGTGTGGAGTTTTCCGTTCCCCCTCTCCACACGTGCTTTGAGGGCGTCGGCACCTCCCTGGGCTCGGTTTCCTTGTCCATTGTGCCCGTTGTTCCCGTCCTGTCAGTGGGTGCTTTTCTACGATCTTCGCCCCTTTTTTCCGGGACGGGCCTTCTCCGTCATGTCCCCCTCTTCTTGGGGTTTCTGCATGACTTTTGGTCTCGGGTGCAATGGGGTTTTGGTGCCTTCGTCCTTTGTGTTTGCTCTTTTTATTCTTGAAGGTTCGAGACGGTTTTGCTCCTTCCCGTTTTCTGGTGCATCTGTTGTCATTCGGTTGAGCTTCCCTCCGGTCCTTTCTAGGGCTTGTGGGTCCTCTTCCCGGCAGCTTCTGGGTGTTGGCCTTTTTCTCCTTTTGTGAATATCTCTTCACACTGTCTCGGCGCTACTAGTTTTCCTGGGTGCGATTTTGCTCCTCTTAATGAGTCTTTTCGCTCCTGCCCTTCTGCGGGATGTTGGTGCGGGGCGGCTCCTTATGCGATTTCCTTCCCTGTCAGCTGCCCTTGTGGAGGTGGACTTGCGCACTTGTGGCGTTTTCGTTTTGGTCCTGCGTTTTCTTTTCCCTCCTGGGGCTCATGGGATTGGCTTGCGGTGGATGTAGAGGCGCTTCGGGCCGTTCCTGGGTCTGGCGCCTTGGTTTCTGCTGCTAGCTTTCGGTATCGATATTCCTTCTGCGCCGTTTCGCAGGTTGTATCATGCGTTGTTACACCTCCGTCCTGCTTCTGCACTGCCTGTGTCGTCCTGGTCTTTGGACGGGGTGCTCTCCTGTTTTTCTTCTCCTTGGTGGTTGTGGCTCCTTGGGGTCAGGTTTGCTTTGCCTCGGTTTTCTTTTTGTGTTGGCATTCGCCTCTGGGGGTCGTGTGGCAGAGCTTCTTGCTCTTCTCAGGCACAGTGGTTTTTGGCTCCTATGGTCGTAGTCATAGGTTTCTTTGTCTGCGGCCGTTCTCCCTTTTTTCTGGCGGATGATATTCCTTGGGTTATTGTCTTGACTTCGTGTTGAGGAGTGATTCACCGACCGCCTCCCGGGTATGTCCCCTTGTTTTCTTAGGTAGTCTTTGGTGAGGTAGCTCCGGGGAGCCGTAGGGGCTCCCCCCAGAAAACCAGCGTTAAATGTAATGAAACGCCATTTTCTGGGCGAGTCCTGGAGGCTCCCCGGCACCCTCCCGCCCTCCGGTCGGCGGGTTTTTTTCATGGTTTTGATATCCAGCCTCAGAACTGGGGCGGGGATTGCCGGCGTGGGGGTCTGGGGCTCCCCCTTCCCCCTCCCGGGGAGGGGGGAGCTGCGCAGACATGCGGCGCGGCTCGCGTGACGTCATGCTTGTTAGTTCGTTTTCCTGGGGAAGTTCTGTCCACTCGTTTGTCGATTTTTGTTGTTTAACCAGAATAGGGGTTTGTTTTGTGGCGCTTACCTTTCTGGGTGCCTGTCCTGGTCGATGGCAGATATAGAATGCTCCAAATCACATGTGCATTTCTATGGGCCATTGCTCCCCGTGCCTCTCTGAGGGGGCCAGGTTCTGGCTCGTGGTCCCCGGTAGGCCTAGAACTCCACCCACATCGACTGATGCAAAATAGTTAGGGTATCCATATCAGCCATGGATAGCTCCGCGGAGCCTCCGGGACTCGCCCAGAAAATGGCGTTTCATTACATTCAACGTTGGTTTTTTCAATCTTTGATGCCTTTGGTTACATTTATTAAACAGTTTACAACCAAGAAAATTTGCCAACCAACTGTTATTGTTATAAACAGCATCTTGGTGCTTTAGAGCTCATTAACTGTTTAATAATTGTAAGCAAAGCTGCCAAAGATTGTGAAAAGATGTACTATACAGGTTCGTAAGTGCTTGCGTAACTGTTTCTTGAATCTGGCCCCCTGGTGTGGAGGACTTGATGCTGTGTGTTGGTGCTAAATTTGTGATGCTGCTTAGGATTTTTATCAATAACTTATTACCCAATATTGCTCTTTTATTTTTTTTTTGGCTATTGCTTCTCCACTTCTTGACAACTGGGAGTAATGATAAGAATGTACTATAGTATTTGCAAGGTATTGAGCTTTACATTTAAATTGTGAAGTATGAGAAAAGACTGCATAGTATCATCATCTGGTAACTGGCCACATATTCTATCAGTGATTCTATCATTGATAGAATCTAAAAACAGTTCATTAAAAAACTGACTTAACTTTGTCATCAGTGCACTTTACTAAGGAATTTTTATCCATAGTTGTATGTTAAATCATTAGTGAAAGAAGTCGGTTTGATATGTAAATTTAGGGAGATTAACTTCTGATATTGTGATTTAACTTCACACAGATTTCCTTGCCTATCTTAAACAGTTTGTTTACAGTATTAATTATATTTCCCTCAGTTTTATTGTATCTAAAAATAATGTAAACTTTTAATAAGGACGGCAAAATACTAACATAACTTAAAACATTTAAATTGCACAAAATTCAACAAGTGTATCTCACTAGCACAATAGATAGACAAGTGATGTGCCTCTTCATGATTCTGTATGTATCATATAATAATAGTACTGTACAGCAGTTTTATGCAAAAGCTACTTACACATAATTTTTTTGTCCTATTTTATTCTCCGCTCCTCAGGGTCGAGGTGCGAGAGGAATCGATCGAGGATGGACTTGTCTCCAAATTAGCACTGACCTCGGCTGCAAGGACACACTCTGCGACCTACACGTGTCATGCAGCCAATGCGTTTGGTCGAGACACTCGAAACATAGAGCTAGTTGTGCAAGGTATTAGAAGTTTGAACTTGTCTTTTTATATGAAATGCTCTTGCCTTGGTTACCAGAAAATGAATAAAGAATATTTATATTTTTATTCATTGTCATTTCCTTAAGTGTTGCTGCTGGAATCAATGAGTTGATGCTTGTAAAATATTTCACTAATTCATTGCTCTGTTCTGTATAATATAGGTAAAACTCTCATTATACTGTGTGACAATGCTAAATCCCTTTATTATACTTTGTGATAATGCTAAATCACTCATACTTTATAGTAATGTTAAACCCTTGTTATACTTAGTAATAATGAAAAATAGTGAAAAAACTACATTCATTACAAGGACAAGGGAAATGGAGACACTGGAGTAGACAGGGAGATACTAGAAGAGTGTGAGTGTTACCACAGGAAGAATATATATATCATTGGAATAGGTGGGGGGGGGGAAGAGAGTTGCCTGTCAATTGAAGTAGGCTGGTAGTCTATCCATTTTACTGTCCTATCTATTAGTGATGTCACAGGCAACCGAGTTTCATTCTGCATGTAGTAAACTGGTAAGCCCTCCCCCACTGCAGAGGAACCCGAGCAACCCAAGAACCTACGGGTGGTGGAGACGCACAGTCGTCGGGTGAAGCTCTCTTGGATGGCGCCCTATAATGGCAACTCTCCCATTCAGAACTACCTCATCCAGTATAAGTTAGCATCTGGTGAGTAAGCAGATGACAAAGAGCATTTGTAATTGATTGATTTATTATAGATACTGCACCTTCTTTTGCATGAAATACTGTACAGTATGTTTCTTCATGAAATATACACTTCTGCATGAAATGCACACTTCATGAAATACTTAATTCAATATAACTGCATTTGTGGCATTGTTGATCCTATAATGTAAGCTTTCTATGCTCTTATTTACTTAGTATCAATGTTAAAAAGAACAATCAATAGCTCTATCATCACACACCATAAATACTTGTGAAAGTGCACTACTAAGATCACAAAACACATGGCATCACCAGTGTCATACAGGACTACAAAGTCAAGTGACTGTGAAGATATTGTTAGAGGCTGGAGTGAGTTTTGCATGAAAGGTAATAAGACGTGTGAACCTGGAAGTTATACCTCAAAACATTTATGGTACATATAATAGTGTCCCCTTTTAGGTACAGTATTTGTTCCAATTTGCAAATACTGTACAGATATGTTTGACCAGACCACACATTAGAAGGTAAAGGGACGATGACGACGACGTTTCGGTCCGTCCTGGACCATTCTCAAGTAGATTGTGAGTAATCGACTTGAGAATGGTCCAGGATGGACCGAAACGTTGTCGTCGCTTCACCTTCTAGTGTGGTCTGGTCAAAATACTTCAGCCACGTTATTGTGACTCATCGCCTGTACAGGTATGTTCCTTCACTGGTAATCAAATATATGTTGACAGAGCCATGGCCAGGTGTGCCAGAACAGCTGAGTGTGCCGGGGGACCAGACAGAAGGCATCATCCATAAGTTGACCCCTGCTACTGCCTACCACTTGAGGGTCACGGCCCAGAACACTCTGGGGCTCGGCACTCCCTCAGAAGTCATACAGGCTGCCACTGATGAGGAAGGTTAGTCTTATTAATAGAAGATGGAGTGACATGTTTACTGTTAAATGTAAATTGATGCAGGTTAGAATGTGATTAAAATAGATTGACACCATGTTTTCTTATTTTTTGTTTTGGTATGAATAAATTCCTTTGATCTTTTTATTGTATTAACCCAGTACATCAAACTTTCCTTCCTTAGAAATTTTCACCATTTTCAGCTTGTATTTGTTGTCATCTCACATTACTCTTATAGTCATACGATCCTTCCTTTGCTCTCTGGGGTGTAAATAGGTGTTGGCCCCTGATTACTTGACTTGTATAACTAGCCTCTATTTTTACAAATCAAGCCATTTTTTAAGATATATTATTGATAATGTATGGAAGGTTAAATAAGTGAAATGTGGCAACAGTTCAGAAAGAAGTGAGAAATATTAAAAATTAAAGTAAAAATATTATTGTCTTCAGAATGTGATAGGTATCACCAGATATTAAGTTTACAGTATAATTTTTAATGTTATATTTGTGGTTTTATTGTGTATTAAACATTTTAATTTGTGCAAAATTTGACAGTTAATATATATTATAAACTGTTCAATTTCAGAAACTCTTATGTTCAAATTGTCACAACATATTTTGCTTCAATTCCATTGTCCTAAATTATGTTTCAGAGCCATCAGGGTCTCCTTTAGACGTGCGCGTGACTCCCGAGTCTTCAACATCCCTGCGTGTGACGTGGGAGCCACCAGCCAGAGACTTGTGGAATGGCAATATACTGGGATATTATGTAGGGTACAGAACTCATGCTCATGCTGCTGACTACAACTTCCAGACTGTAGAGGTAGCGATTGGGTTTGTGATTTGAGCATTAAAACCAGATATTTTGTGCATTTTCTGAGCTGTTTCATTTGGCTGCTCACAAAGGTAAGGTTCACTAGGTCAGCAGGATGGATCATGTTCAGTCAGGGCAGGACAACATATAGGCATTGGCACTACAAAGTAAGTTTTACAAGGTCCCTGCAGGATCATGTTGGTGCTAGGGAGTCACTGGATAGCATTCATTCCAACCTAAAATGGCTTCCAGTAGCCTGTTCATAAAACTCAAGGCCCTTCTAAACCCTCTGTGGACTCATGTTAACTACCAGTTTTTGTTTGGGTAATTGGTGTTGGCTGGCACCAGGTGGCAGCAGTTTATACAACTCCAGGTCCTGACACTCATACCACCACACATGTTTCCTATCTGTCATCCATGGCTGTTGACAGGCATAGACGATTTTTTTTAAGTTACGTTTGAACTAGTTCCACTCTTCTTGATCTTTGAATCATGTGCTTAGGACTCATCATGTGAACATTGCTTAATATAAGTACAGTATTTGTTTAAAGGTCCTTTGAGTGTCCATGCTTATTTTTCAAAGTACTGTACTTGTCATTCCCAGTGGTGTTCAGTTTCAGTGCTGTGCAAATGTACCTTTGCTTTATAAGCTTATAGCCACCATAAACACAGTTCTCTATAACATCAGACAGAGACTTAAAAGTTGGTACATTTGGCCATTATTTTACCACTGTGTGGGTGAAGTGGTGACCGGTCTGTACTGTATATCCAATAAATTTCACCTTGGTAGAGATGGTGAACTTGTTTTGTTTCACTGGTGTTACTAGCCTTTCTCTGTCCATAGGGTAACAAAGTTAGGTTATAAGCCCAGAAAACTCGGATTTTGGTGCCAGGCATCCGACTCATATTATACTACAGTCAAGGACATTAAATATAGCAAATCATTTTGGATACTGACTAGCACCTGCTTTCATATTTCTGCACACACCTTATATTTCTGCACTGCGGGGTACAGTGCAGAAATATTTACACTGGTGGTCACAATTTGAGTCATTCAATACCTTTCAGGGTTTTATCTATTTTGACAAGAATAGATAAACCACCAAGAACCACCAACACCCTAGAACAAGTATTGGTTGTTGCCGTGACTTTGGCCTCAGAATCAGGTCAGGAATCATTGTGTTGCTTTAATTTTCTTGGCATTTGTGTTTCAGAAGTTTGTTAATGCTCCTCCTGACTCGAAGGTTATTGGTTCCTATCTTTCTTCCCTTGCTGTGAAACCTAAGATATGGGTCCTTTGCTGAGAAGTAAATGGATGGGGCATTCCATTCAAGGCATGTAGGGTCTCCTTTTTCTGCCTTGTTGTGCTTGAGCATTAAAACTGCAACAGCAAAAATAAATTGCCTGTACTTCAAGCTTTCTGTGGGCTTGGTTTACCTGGTATTTGCATGTTCAGGATTTCCTTGTTACAGCAGCTCTTTGCTTCAAATGTTAGTGCTTGACTAAGTTAAGCTGGTGTTCTCCTTGCATATGTAAGTCAAGAGAAGTTGCCTTGTTCTCTGGAAGAATGTTATAGTTGATTGCATTTATCATTTCTGACTGAGTGGGATTAAATGGAAGGAGGATGGTGTGATCGTGGTTTCCTTTCTATGGATATGCGAGACTTGGAATGTCTCGGTTGGGACTGTTTGCTTAGGCACTAAGCCACAAGTTTAGTGTTTATTTGGTTCTATTTCCAAAATGATGTATTTTGAGGGGGAGCCCCAGAGGCTCCCTGGCTCCAGGGAGCCTCTGGGGCTCCAAGGAGGCTCTGGGGCTCCAAGGAGGCTCTGGGGCTCCAAGGAGGCTCTGGGGCTCCAAGGAGGCTCTGGGGCTCCAAGGAGGCTCTGGGGCTCCAAGGAGGCTCTGGGGCTCCAAGGAGGCTCTGGGGCTCCAAGGAGGCTCTGGGGTCCCCAGAAAATGGCATTTTATTACATTTAATGCTGGTTTTTACACTAGATGCAATTTTTCTTAACTTGAGTCAGTGAAAGATGATTTGCTTCCTCTGATCTACTTGATACTGCCATTTTGTCTTAAGCTTGTAAATGCTCTTGTTCCTATGTTGCTGCTCCAGCAGTGGTTCCCAGTCCCATTCTTCCATTAATCCCAACTTGTCTTTAACTTGAGTCAGTGAAAGATGATTTCCTTCCTCTGATCTACTTGATACTGCCTTTTTTCCTTCCCTTTAAATGTTCCCTTTCCCTTTCCCTTTCCCTTTCCTTTCCCTTTCCTTTCCCTTTCCTTTCCCTTTCCTTTCCCTTTCCTTTCCCTTTCCTTTCCCTTTCCCTTTCCTTTCCCTTTCCTTTCCCTTTCCTTTTCCTTTACTTCAAGTGGTTGATTAGTCTCTGATGCTACACAATCACTTCCAGACTTTCTGCCAATCTTCATGTGTGTAGCTTCTTGAGGAGATCTGCCTCCATCTATATGGGAAAGAGGTAGCGGAGTTCCTTGTGTAATATCTACATACTTTGTCCCGTGAACTATATGAAGTGGCCTGGCAGGTGCTATAGCAGTTTCTGGTTCAATATCATTCTTTGTCTCTCTTCAATGTGACTCTCCTTTTCTGGTACTGGTTAATATATGAGTAACAATATAGAAAAAATGTTGAAACTATTTTCAGCTATCTATATACTGTCGTCATAATGGCTTAGCCCTTTCTCCTGATAGTTTACCTTACCTCTTTTTAACCTAACCAAATAAAGGATGGCAAGAAGTTATGTAAATAGAAGTGGTGGAGCGAGTAATCTAGGATCATAATGTAGTTACAAAGTGGTGTTGTAAATTTAATCATAGAGGAGTAAAAATGAGGACAGTTAAGGAAAAGTAAATAGTAGAGAACTGTTACCAGGTATGAAGGATCAGATGGTAATGGCAGGCCCATAATGGAACCAGTGTAAAGATAATGTGAGCAAGCTAGGTTAAAGAAAGCAATTGAAGGGAGCACTGTATCTTAAGACATCTTTAAATGTTGCAGCATTATGGTCTCTTGGTTGTCCACTTGTATTGATGTACTGGTCTTGTACATTTAGGTTGGATCAGCATATGGTGGGAGTTCGACGTTATCTGGGTTGCAGCAGTACACCAGGTACGAGGTGGTGGTGCAAGCCTTCAATAACAGAGGTGCTGGACCACTCTCTACTCCTGTCATTGCTACAACTGAGGAGGATGGTAAATATCTCACTTTTTAGACAAAATGGGTCCATGGTTAGGTTGGTTCGCACAATTTAGTACAGTACGTCATTGTTTTGTAACATTGTGACAACTCGAGAGGATGGGCTGAATTGTGAGTGCCTGACCCAGTCTGATATAGTAATGTTAAATTCAGAATCCAAGAGAAAGCAGATATGAACGAGCTTATTCTAGCTCAGGACTACTGAGAATGAAAAAAAGAAATGTGTGACATGCTAAATGAACAGTTCCATAGTGTGTTTGTACAAAATGAGGATTTCAGAGAGTCGGACCAAATACCAATTCCAAAACACACCATTGGCCCAGAAGGCCAATTGCGATGTTCCTTTTGTTCTTATAGTATTCTTAACTATTGGTAAACTCTTACGAATTTGTGTGTACGAATTTATAACCTAAAAGTTATTATTGTGAATATTAACAATAAATTAAATGATGTAAATATTGCATTGTTAATGTAAATGGGGTCCTTGTGGCATGGGTGCTGTGGTAACCTAGGGATTTCAAACTAAGAAGGGAGGGTTGGTGAAGTGTTTGTGGTGGCCGTAGAAGGTAAGCATGTGTGTGTGGTGGTGTTGGTGTGGTGGCATAGGTAGAGTAACCTTCCTCTAAAATGAGTAGTGGGGGACAGTCATAGTCACGTGTTCCTGGAGGGAGCTATGAGGAGAAAAGTGTCTACGGTCACCAGTGCTCAGTGTGTAACAAGAAATTTTTCTGGAGGCTTCATGTGTGCTAGAGAGCGATCATTAATAGTATCATATATCTTATTTTCCAAAATGATTCCATCTGAGACCCATTACTGCTTCTACCCATGTGCAGCCCCCAGCTTACCCCCTGAAACAATACGGTGTGAGGCAACCTCCCCACAGAGTGTGTCAGTAGCCTGGCGGCCGCCTCCTGTCAGGGGGCAGAATGGCTTAATTAAAGGATACAGAGTGCTCTACACACCTGCATCACAATATTCAGGTGTGTGTACATATCTTTGTCTTGCATTTATGTGAACCAATGAGATAAATATTCAAGTTAGTGACAAATACTGCACAGTTTATGTAAATCTATGAGAGGACATTACAAAATATATCTACTTTATGTAGACAATTAATGTATCATTAGAATGCAAAATAGTGTCCCTTTTCGACAGATGAAGAAGCACAGGCAGAAACAGCAGCAGAAAGTACCAATATATTTAATTTGGAAAAGTATACAAATTACAGCATTAGTGTCTTGGCTTACACAAGTGCTGGTGATGGAGTGCCTTCCCAACCAATATTCTGCAGGACACTTCAGGATGGTGAGTGTTAAAGGCCAAACTTATTACCTCTTGACTTAGTTCCTGATAACCTAAAGGGAACATTTCATTTCTTAAAGTTGTGATGGACTTCAACAGACGATCTGGATAACGTTTGATTTTTTTTACTCATTTGATTTATATTTTGCTTGTGACTTTTTCACTAAGAAAAATTCAACAGTTGTTGGGAATATGATAATTAGCTAATACTGTATTAGGTTTTGAAAATAGTATAGTCAAGCACATTGTGTACTATATTGGGGATTTAGTGATTGAAATTCAAATTTACACGACAGAGTAATGAGCTTGAAAATTTTGAGGTTTTCTACTACTTTCATTGTACATTGTCACTTAGAAACTACTGACAGGTTTGACCTCCACCACCACCTCTCTTAACTTGCTCCAACCATCTACCACTGTTTGCAAAAGTGAACTTTCTAATGTTTTTTCAGCAGCTTTGTTAAGTTAGCTTAAATCTATGACCTCTAGCTCTTGAAGTTCCAGGTCTCAAGAAATCCTCCTTATCAATTCGTTATTATTTTGTACATAATGATCAGATTGCCTTTTTTTTTCTAACTTCTAGTTTTGGCATATTTAATGTGTCTAACCTTTCCTCGTAGCTCTTGTCTTTCACTTCTGGAAGCCATTTAATCGATCCATTTAATATCCCTGGCCTCACTCAGTGCCCTGCCCTACTCCAGGCTTCATCTCAACCATAACACTTCAATTATTTTCTTCCACAAGTTCCTTGATTCATACCTCCTGTCTTTTTGCCTTATCAGTCAAGTTAGTAATTTTTTTTCTCTGCTGGAAAATACTTCCTTTTAACTTACAATATTCATTCTTGAGATCTTTATTTTCTTTTTCTAATTTAAGAACTTTTCATTCATAATGCCTTATCAAGTTCTCAATAATCAGTAACCTGCCAAGAAAACTAGCATTCACTATTTCCTGTGCAGAGAAAACCTACCTTACCCCTATATTGTCAACCCATGTCTGTTTTTTTAAACAACGCTGTTTGTTGACCTAATTGTATTTGTGCTGCTTTTTCTGCCATGTTCCCCCCTTTTTTTTATTTTTATTTTTAATTGTTCTCAACACATTTTATACTTTAATCTCAATTAGTATTAAGTTTTAGTCTTGAATGTTTTTCCTGCCCGAAATGCTTTGCGTAATAGTGGCTTTAGGCATTGTATGTACTAGCTCTATCTATAAATCTATCAATTTTTGTAAAACCTCTTGTATGTATGTACCTTGCCTGAATAAACATTTATTTATTTATTTTATTTGAGACAACCATCTGTTGGTGATAGTGTCCTCTCCTGTGGTGGTGGCGGCCATCTTTGTTGTTTACATGCTTTTGTTTTCCAATACCAACTTTACCTATCCAGATTTTTCACACACTTTCTTATTTGTTTTATGTTACTTTTCAAATTCCCTGTACCTTCACATTTCCTGGGACACCACTTACGGTCCTTGACCTGTTCCACAATACTTAAGCAATTGGGTTTTCCTGGAGCCTGGTGCAGTGCGCCTCCTGAGTTGCTGACCCGTGTCAGCAGATTTGTTTGCTTTAAAAAGAATATGCTGATCTAGGTTTATGAAGCACTGGGTAAACATAGGTGCGGCCACCTGCTGGTTTTGCCAGGCAAGCATACGAGCAGGTGTGAAGCCTCACTTTGTGGCCACTTGTGCTCGGAAAGATACTTTTCTTGTTAACTTTAGTAAGAGCAGTTTAACTTCATGCAAGTAAATTACAGGATTGGCTCATGACATCAAAAATGCAGAAAATGACAATAATACATTTTAATAATGGCAACTATTATATTTTGTATTCTTGGATATAGAATGTTGAAGTTTGGGTTCTGTATAACTTAAGCAATTTTTCCATCTTTGTAATTATATTATTACTTCTTATTTATTTCACACCATTAATTTATGCTCAAGTGTAGTTTTCCTTTGTTTTTACTGTATTTAATTATAATTTTTGTATGAGAACTAATTTTAATGTAATTGTTCTTTGTGTGTGTGTTTTTAAAGTGTTAGGCGATGTGTGTGTGTGTGTGTTTGTTTTTAAAGTGTTAGGCGATGTGTGTGTGTGTGTGTTTGTTTTTAAAGTGTTAGGCAATATATGTGTGTGTGTGTGTATTTTCTTCAAGTGACAGGCAACTTGTGCCATGTTAAGGATGCCAGCTGATATAGTGTGGACGCTATAGAACTGTGTATATAACAATTTGGTTTACCCCTGAGAGTTTAGAGAGAGCAGCCACTTTCATGTTTCCCTCTAAAATTTCAGTGCCAGATTCTCCAGCAGGGATTAAAGCTGTTGTGAGCTCTTCCACTACCATCCTCGTGACCTGGCTGGCTCCACTTAAGGTCAATGGTGTCCTGACCAAGTACACTCTCTACATGGCAGTCACCAGTAGTGAGCAGAGGATGGTTAGTTACCTCTACTCTTGAACACCATTGAAAATATCTTTTTGTGAGTGCTTGGTAAATGATGATTCAGTTTGATGTACACTAGTTTCTTTTGCTGTGCTAAATGGCAACAAATATTTACTCGCTCATTTGGGGTCCTCTGATTATTTGTGATTTTTTTGTGGAGAATTGTTAGAGAAAATATCTCTTCGATCAGATATTAGGCGTTTTATTTTGTGATAGGTGTACACTATCACAAAATATTTAGACTATAGAATGACACACAGGAACTTAACCACTGTGCTGCTCAGGCTCCAAATATGGTACCCCCCCCCCCTGTGCACAGGAAATAAATTCTTGGCAAAAATTTTTTTTTGTTTTTGAAAATGTTAAATACCCTTTCCTGATCATAGATATGGAAATTAAAAATCGAAATTGTACTTTGGCCGCAATGAGGTCCAGAAAATGGAGGGTGACGTCACGATTTGGTGGTCGCCTGTGGCGTAGACTCCCAGACCCAGTTGCCGCCAGCTTCAACATGCGCGAGTTGCCACAAATATATTTTTGTTAATTTTTTGCATACATTTCCAAATACATTCGTTTTTTCTTGCCAGTCCTATGTATAATGAACACGTACACAGTATTATGGCAGTAGAACATCCGTACTGTCCCAAGACACTGTGTTACATGCATCACAAATGTGTCCACATATATTGCTCATATATCCAATGTTTCATGTTTATTTATGTATATTTACAACATATTTACACACTGTACACTATCACACACTATATACATTCACCATCAACACACCCAGAACTCCGTGAGTGTGAGCTGCCACACCCAGCCAGCCCTTCCTCACTCCTCCAACACCGACGCTACGAGTACGACTCCACCTTCCTCACCAAAATGGCTCCTCCCAACATACACTTGTTGCTGTTATTTCACTATATACACACATTGTATATACCCATGTACATATGTGTTCACCATAGTGAACCACTAAGCTAGTATGGTGAGCAATACAAGAGTGGCTGCCACACAGTGACGCTACCTCGGTTCCCTCCCTCCCTCACCAAAATTCCTCCTCCCACAATACTACTCACAGCATTATCACTACAATCCTGCTGTTATCACAATCTGGGTCACTAAATCCTGTAAATGAATAATTGACCAAGTTTATTTTGTAAAGGAACATAAGAAGTTGTTTGAAGATTCCTAGATGGACGAAATAATGCTGTGGTACTTTGGCTAGTGCTGTGAACATCGTGAACAGCATTGAATCACTGATATTTGAACATTTTACAGTCATTATCACACTCATGCTCTTCTGTAATACTATCATGGCTAAATAATACTAGTTACATATATATTTTGACATTATTAGGCAATGCTGAACAGCAGTGCTGTGAGCTCATGTTGCGTGCGCCAGCCTTGGTTGCTCACTCATTAATGAGGCTCTCACACCCGGGAATGTTGCCCACAATTTTTTTTAAAATGGTGTCTCTTTACAAGTCCTGAGGAAGCTGATGTGAATCCCATATAGCTGTGGGAGTTTTGAATCATACGCTATACCAATAAAATCCCAGAGGAGCATTGCACACCCCCCGTCGAGCGCCTGCAGGTGCGTTGCGCAGTTCAGTGGTTAAATTACTGGGAAAACAATGTGAATGATGACCAGTGCCACAGGAATTTGAGACAGTTGTCAGCAAAGTACTGTATCTCCAGTTCAAATGAAATCAGCACAAACACTTAATGATATTCCATGCCATCTTACACATTAATATCAAATCTTGACAGTTGGTGTTTCTCAAGAAAGCCACTGGTGTGGTCTGCTATGGGGAAAACCCTAAAAAAAATGTTGCTAAATAAATATGAAACGCCACCAAAGCTTGCTTACACACCATGCTACTTTGTGAATCAGTGTCAGATTTGAACATTCATGAGTTCCCATGATACAGACCACTGAATATCTGAATGGCTGATGCTGATGGTCGGCCATTTGGACAATGAACCTTTGGGAAACAAGTATGTTATAATAGGAATGATGTGAAACAGTGTTGAACAGAAGGTGAGTATTATACAGGTCATAATATACTTGTCCCATACTGGGGAAATTAATTACAAAATAGGTGATTTGCCAATAATTACTTGCCCAGCAATTTGGTAAATATTGGGAGGTTGCTATATAGATAATGGTCTGCCTTTTCGTTCATACCGTAGGTTTCTGAAACCACTTAGGTAAGTGTTTTTTATGGAAAGCAGCAGGACTCCAACGAGACTAGTACAATCTTACTTCAGTCACAGTGGGAATCTTTTTAAACATTAAAGTACTCAGATAGTTAAGTCTTACATTGTGGTACTTGTGAAAAATAGTTCACAAAACTTTATTTGCTATTCACAATTTTCTGTGATTTTTTTTTAGTTCTGGGGCATTTCATTCCCTTAACATTGACAAGGAGTTCTTGTCTTATATTTTCTCACTGATTTTCTGTGCACCTTTGAAGTTTGCAATGCCTGTTGCCTTCAAAATATCTGAAAAAGTGACTTTGCTCACTTTGAATTTATCCCACACAGCTATCCTAGGAATGCTACATTCCACTTGCCTTGTAAACTGAACATTCTGCTTAAAAGACATCATATGTCTTTGTGGTCTATGGCATTTTGGCATATGTCTATGCCAAAAAGCCCTTTGACTTTTCAGTTAGTTACAGGCACTGACACAGTACAATACTTTTATGTTGGAACAGATTTAGACCTGCTTGTAATACAAGGTATACTAGGTGTTGGTCTTTGTGGTCTTGCTCGTTTGTTTCTGGCCAGTGGTCTTAGGGGGTCTGTTTTGGGATTTCTTTCATGGATATCACCTTAGTTCCTTCATCTTTGAAGGGGTTGCACATTCCTGGCTGGCTTTTGCTCTTGGGCTTTGGTTTCTCTATCTTTGGCCCATGGGATTTGGTTATTTGGCTTTGGCTTTGTTGTAGCCAGTTCCTGCACATCAGTTCCTGCAGAGCCAGTTTGGATTTGTTTGGATTAGTGTGTTGTCATTGCAGTTCTCTTGGTTATGCCTTGTTGGTCATATTTCTGGTTGTTTCTCACTGTACTGGTCATTGATGAGGCACCCTGGGGGCCCCCTTTAGTATTTCACAAAAGCTTTTTCTCACTTCAGGGAGAGGCGAAGCTATATTCTTTCGAGTTACTACAGTACTCCATTTTCTCCAGCAGAGGCATGTGGGTGCTTTTTTTTTTTTTTTTTTTTTTTTTAGGGTCTTCTCCATACCTTTGATTTCATAGTGGTTTGCATTCTCTCCTTGTCTCCTGTACTTGTTGGCCAGGGCTTTCTGGTTGGTTATACATGCTTGTCTCAGTCCATCTTGTGTTGCTCATAGGAGGCACATACTCCAGTTCAGTTTACTTCTGTTCCACTTTCTGTGGACAGTGCTTTGTGCAATGGTTTGGTTTTTGTTCCTCTGCACTTACCTACTTGGGCATCTTTGAGTTTCCCTAGTTGCAGTTCTCGGTGTTTTTCCTGCCTTGTTCAGGTATTCTATTGTGTTCCCTAACACTGGTTTTTGTTGAGGAAGTCTCCTGGTGTGGGGATTCTTTTGTTCGTAGGATCTGTGTTCTCTTTAGGCTTTTAGTATTTTTCTTTATTGAACAACTGATGCTTCCTGGCTGGTGCCTTGCTGGGGCATTCTGTAATTAATCCCAGTTTCTTTCATCTGCTTAGTGATTGGGTTGGGTTTCCCTGACCCAAGTTTGTGCTCATTACTTGTTTTCCCACCAGATAAGCGAGTCCTTCTTGCCTGGTAATCTGAACCGTTGAATGACATTTTGCTGGGGGCGACTTTTTGTGCTTGGTGATGGTGATACTGTGGGCAGATGATTCTCCTCCCTATGGGCCCAGTGTCTCCTGCTTGGGTAACTTGTCTTCTATTCCTTGTTTTTATGTAGCATTGCTTTACTGAGGAAGCATCTAAAGGGCTTTAGCTAAAAAATATGGTGTCGAGCAAAGTGAAATGCAACTTTCTGACCTGAATTCTTGAATGCTTCCCTTCTTCCTGTTGTTGTGCTGTCTTTCCTGAGCCTGCCTGGGGTGCTGTGGAGATCAAGTGGGAGTTGTCAAGTCCCTTCACCCTGTTGTGGTGACACTGGTAACACCTGGTGGCCAATGGTGCAACTTTAAGCTACTAGCAATGTGCAGAGAATAAGTCGCAATAACAAGTCAACAAATAACTCAAATAGTGTCGTGACTTCATAAGGATTTGCCGAGTGATTATTGGTTTTGGTATTTTTAATTCTGTTTGCAGGCGGTGTTTAAGAATAATGCTTCATCCATATGTATTATACGGACTGGTGTTCATAGTTCTAAAATAGACTTGTCACTATCTCCCTTCCCATAATACATAACAGGACCAATAGCAAAGGTCCATTTCACAATAAGAATAAAAGTCCTGAAAGCGTATGTGATGATGTGTCCCAGGTGGATCATAGTCTTGGCCAAGAGCACCTGGCAGGTCTGGCTCATAAAGACACATTTTCTCTGCTCATCACCCCAATTCAGCACTGTATATATATATATATAGTTTTATTACAAAAAAAAGAGCCACAATAACTTATTAATGCTCCCTGTGCAGAGAGAATTACCATCACGAACTCTGGGCCCAGGAGAAACATCTTATGTTGCTGAGGGTGTGAGCACGAGAGACAAGTATGAGTTTTGGGTATCTGCTTCAACCCAGCGAGGGGAAGGATTAGCAACTAAGAAGGTTGAAGTCCACCCAACAAGCAAAGGTTAGTACTCAATAATAATCTTGTTTTGATCACCTACTACCTCCTTTTAGAAAGTCAAAGGTATTGTAGTTGAAAAGTTGAATGTCAAAGATACAGTATATGCTTCAGGATAATTTAAGTCTGAAGAAGCTTTCTTTGGTTGCTCCCAAGCTGTGGTCTGGGTCCACCCAGGATATAAACTTTTTATCAGACTCTCGACTACCTGTGTCCCATGGTGACGAGGGTCTTTTCAAATTGTCTTGTTGCCTAGCTAACGAGGGAAGACAGGGGAGATAAATATTAATTTGCCACCAGAAAGACTTATATGATATCAAATAGCAGAACAAAAAACTCGGTACCCCCTCCAAGAAATAACTAGAAACAAGGATTACCTGGTTGATAACTGATTGATGGGGTTCTGGGAGTTGTTCTACTCCCCCAAGCCCGGCCCAAGGCGAGGCTTGACTTGAGAGTTTGGTCCACCAGGCTGTTGCTTGGAGCGGCCCGCAGGCCCACATACCCACCACAGCCCGGTTGGGTTGGGATTGCCGGTTATTTCTCTGCAAACTATGAGTTTACTAATTCTTCACAAATGTCACTAGATGGCAGCACCACAACATAGATGGCCATATAGGCAGTACAGTATTCACTTCAAAGTGTGGCACAAGTTGCTTACATGCCTAGTGTTACTGATGTTAGCTTAGTTTCAGGGCTATTTTCCCCCTGGCACTGATGGTCAAAAACAAACCTTCAACATTTTTTATTGGCTGATGTCTAGTTAAATCATCAGCATGATCTGGCTCTAGTAGAGCTGTGTCCTTATTATGCAAGTGCTGTTTGAGAGACTGTCTCCGGTCTAGGCCTTGGTTCCATTCTGTTACATTAACACTTGCAGTCTGCACATGACAACTGTTGGGCTCTTCTGTGGCAGTGCTCTATATTCGAATAATTCCCCATTTGTTCCTTGTCAAGGTTTTGCAAGTGTGTGCTAATAAAATGACTCATCTCTTGTGGGCAGTCAATGCTTCAGGCTTTGCTTCAGGTTTGGTGAGTCTAATTACCATGCTTCAGGTTTTTTCATGAACCTTGTCTTTGCTGGTTTACTAACTTGTCCTCTTACAAAAAACGTCGTATTTTGATCGTGTGCATACAATAAAGCCAAAATTTTTCGTACTAAAAAATGGAAGCAGCTCACGAAAGTGACGTACTGTCCTGTTTTCTGTTTTGGGTCCTCTGATAGGTTAGGAGAGGATACTTTAAATTTTAGTTTTCTTTACGATGGAAAACCTTAGGAGGATGGACTAGGTCCGTCCCAGAAGGATACCCTCTGGTATCTCTGGCTAGCATTGAGCCTGATTCTTCTGTGTGCACTTTTTTGTTGTATTCCTAGGAATATTGTTTGTCATTTTGATGATACTCCTGTACTGGTTACCACCATTGACCCCTTGGCCACCCTACATGTTTGTCATTTTCATGGGTGCTGCAAGATAGGTTCTGGATTCTCTAAGGAGTGTATTGCAGGTTGTTTCCTGGGCCTGTGTGTGTTTATCCAGAGGCCCCTCAGTCTCACTGGACTTATGTGATGCTCGAAAGTTTGTCAAGGTGCTGCTGTTCTTCTCCCCCCACAGCAGTCTTCTGTCATCTTCTTCCACTTGTAGGCCCAGTCCAGCATTTATGTTTTATTAATTTTGTCAACCTTTCAGAAAAGCCGGCTTCCTTTGCCAAGTAGGCATTGTGAGTCAGTATCAGGGAGCTACTTATGGGGGGGGGGGGGAGGGGGTTTACAAAAATCAAACATTAAATGTAATGAAGTGCCCTTTTCCAGTAGCAGCTCCACATATCTGCCCTATTTCCTTCTTTCTGAAGGGAGTTGAAGGGAATTTTCTGGTTGGGTGTCTTGTGAATTTTGCTGACTGGCTGGGACCTGTGGGTGACCTGAGGTACCATCTGGTGACAAATCAGGTGCATCACAGGTGAGGTGTTTACCCTGTGGCAATGATTTTCCTTGCTTTACTCAGGGTAATGAATTTTCTTCAAGCAATTGCTTGTTTTGATGTTCTTATACTTTGTTTTTCTTGGTTTTTGCGTTGTTCTCAACCCCAAAAACCTACCTCACCTTGCAGAGAGCCAAATTTTGGTCTTGGCATCAGGAAGGCTTGAGTGGGTGTTGGAGGCCGGGTGTGATGCCTTCAGGTTGAGCAGCTCCGGCGCTGCAGCATCAGGTAGCTACTGAATGATCCCCCAGAAAAAAAAAAAGAGGAGGCTTTCGTTACATTTAACACTTTACTTATATTCTACTGTTTGGTGTCATATCAAACACTTCATTTTCATGTAAAAGTTTTACAGTCTCTGTGTAGTGGTAAGACACTCGCCTGGCGTTCCGCGAGCGCTATGTCATGGGTTCGTATCCTGGCCGGGGAGGATTTACTGGGCGCAATTCCTTAATTGTAGCCTCTGTTTAACGCAACAGTAAAATGTGTACTTGGATGAAAAAAAGATTCTTCGCGGCAGGGGATCGTATTCCAGGGACCTGCCCGAAACGCTACGCGTACTAGTGGCTGTACAAGAATGTAACAACTCTTGTATATATCTCAAAAAAAAAAAAAAAAAAAAAAAAAAAAATGACGTTTGATATGATTTGATACGAACATTTTATGGATGGATTGAAATTTATTTCACCTATCTCCCCTCCCCATCAATATGACGAGAACATTTAAAAAGTCACCGTGAGACACGGGGTATTCAAGAATGGGAATATTGTTCTGAATAAGCCCAGGCTGTGGCTCAGGGAGTGTTCATTCAGAAAAAAATAGTTTTATTTTACTACACTTGATACCAGTTATTTAATGTTAATACTGTATCTTATTTTCTGAACCTTCTTGAACATATTTTATTTTTATTTTATTTAGTATCAGCACAAATTGCATCATTTGGAGGCCCACTGGAAGTTGCTTGGAAGGAAGACGTCCGCCTCCAGTGTCATTCTGTTGGAGAACCGCCCCCAGACATCACATGGAAACATAATGGAAAGAAGATTTTACCAACTGATAGAATTCAGGTAAAGGGAAAAAATTGAACACATTATTATATTACTGTACATGAGTTCTGAAGGTGTAAAAACTGCACTTTATGAGGTGTAACATGCCTCTACAGACATGAGCATTAAGTCACAGGCATTTCAGGTGCAGGGTCTGTGGCACATATATATGTTAAAGAATAGTTTATAGAATATCCTATACAGTATAATTATAATTTGACCTCACCTCAAGCACTTGTACATTTCCCCATATGTAAATATTTTGAATAATCATCAGATGTCCATATTTTTGCTAAACTGGTAAATTCTGACTTATCTGATGTGACTGCTATGTAAGTAAGATCAGCTGTGCTCATAGGACGAGATTATGCAGTCAAGCTGTACAACATAAATTCACTGGCAAAATAGGAAAAATTTCAGGCGGTCCCTGCAGGGCCATAATGGAGAAAGAACATAGTTATGTCCAGAAGTACTGTCAGTGGTTCACTCAAAACGTTTAAGCCCTTCTAAACTCTCCAGTGACATCACAAGTAACTGCCAGGAGAAGACTTGCTAACTATCACTTCATCGGCACGCGTACTAGTTTCAACCACACTAGGTGTCAGCACCACACATACCTCCAGACTTTCAATACTCACATACTTAATTGTCTCATGTCACTTGGCAGACAGACAGGTGGTTTAGTTAAGTTGGCTTGATCCTTGAATCCTATGCTTAATACTTGACTTTTTAAGTGTTACCTGGTGTAAGTGCTTGTGTACAGGTTTTTGAGCGTTTCTTCTTATTTTGTGGACTGTTCATCACTCCTGAGCTTTAGGTGGAATGATGCACAACAATGGCTGATGTTTGAGATTATACTGCCTTAACCACTACACTGCACCTACACTGCACCTATACTGCCTTAACCACTACACTGCACCTACACTGCACCTATACTGCCTTAACCACTACACTGCACCTACACTGCACCTATACTGCCTTAACCACTACACTGCACCTACACTGCCTTAACCACTACACTGCACCAAACAACAAATCCTGTTTTGAGAGTTGTCTGTTTTTTGTTTTTTTAATTAGGCTATATTTTAATGTTTAATATTTTCATCACTCTTTGTTTTGAAATGAAAATAGATGAGTTTGGAAACATTTTGACTAACTTTACCTGAACATTTATAAAAACAACAAAAATGTCCTTAGCAATTGCACTTGTTTCTGCAAAAAACAGGTGCGTAGTGCAGGGGTTAAACAAGTTTATCTGTTCAAAGGGTGACAGAGATAGGTTAATGGCTACTGAGAACTCTTGCCTTGGCTCCAAGCCTTTTTCTTGTATGTACTATCATCAGGGACTGAGGATCTGGGGACATGTCAAGATTTTTGGACCTTAGGTTGTGTCTGTGTTTGGCATTACTATGGTGAAGAAGCACTTTGGAGACTTATTAACTTTGTATGGAGCAGTGTTGAAGTTGCCAAGTTGAGCACATCAATACTTATGCTAGCAGTCACTTGTTAAGGAAGGATTCCAAATGATTAGTTTTAATTGTCCATTCAGGGTTGGATTAAATGTGGGACAAGAAGCGCGTGTGACTCTTGTCCCCAACAAAATGAACTAATATTAATATTGTTCAAGGTAGCTTTCTGGGGGAAGCCCCGTCAGCTCCCGGAGCTATCCAGGCTGAATGGATATATATAACTTTTTGACATCAGTCAAAGTGCTTGGAGTTCTTGCCTACTGGGGACTACGAGCCAGAACTGGGCCCCCCTCAGAGAGGCACGAGGAGCAATGGTCTATATAAACCCCGTTGTGGTTGGGAGCATTCTATGTCTGCCATCGACCGGGACAGGCACCCAGAAAAGTAGGCGCCCCAAAACCCCTATTCTGACTAAAACATTACTACTGAAAGCTGAACGAGTGAACAGAACTCCCCAAACAAAATTATCAAACTAGCATGACGTCATCACGTCGCCGCGCCGCCATCTGCACAACCCCCCCCCCCTCCCCAGGAGGGGGAAAGGGGGAGCCCCAGACCATCTGTGCCTGCGATCCAACCGGCAGTTCTTGGCTGATGTGATTATTGGCCGATTGAGTGCCTCTGGCTCCGGTTTTTGTTTCAGTTCTATGCCTTGTGGTGTGGGCTGTCTCTATTGGTGGGGTGTGAGCCAGGAGTGAGATTCCACGGTACTCGGGCTGCATGCGCCTAGGGTTCTCTTCCCTAGGTGCCCTGTAAGTACTGCCCTTGGGGCTTGGAGCCACTTTTCACAAGTCACCTTGGGTTCTACCTCCGCTGTGTCCTTTACTGCTCGGTACTGGGCCACCCTTGGAGTTGGCTGGGGTTTTGTTGCCCTTGTTTATCTCTGGGTAGGAGGTAGTATTCGTTACTGGCAAGGGCGTGGGGTACTGCACAGCTAACTTCATCACTAACAACGGCCAGCTCTGTTCCGCCTGGGTACGTTTTCTTCTGTTTTTGTTTTCTTTTGTTTTTGTCTGGTGGAGGGGTCTGCCTTTGTGGTCCCCCTATGCTCTTCTAGGGGTTTTTGTATAATTTTTCTGTTTGGTGGTGCTCCCCGCTTGGCCCCCGTGAATGGACACGTCCCGGGGGTTCAGCTTTTAGCAGTTTGTTTGGTAGACTAGGGCGCCAGTTCACAGTATCCTGCCTGGGCTTCCCTTAGTGTGTTACCAAGGCTAAGGGCTCTGGGAAACCCCACAGGGGGCTCCGTGGTCCGATGGATGTAACCCCCCGGCATCCCCCCTCCTCGTCTTGCGAGTTTGAAGGTTGCTCTGTCCCCTTGTCTCAGGGTGACACTCACCTGTTTTGCCGCCTCCTTGCTGCCTGTTGGGTCGTTGGTTCTTTTGACCCAGAGTCGTGCGACTGGTGTTGTCTGTACGTGCTCTCGTTCACCTGGGCCCCTGGTCATGATAAGCGGGTGCAGGCACCTGCTTATCATGACGCTTATCATGACTGTTCTCTTTGTATCGGGGTCCCTGCATGTCCCTTGATCAGGGGTGTATTTTTTGTCCTGATGTTCCTCCGTGCGTTTGTGCTTACTTGTCATGGTTCTCATTGGTTAGCGACCCTCTTCGTACCTTCCAGATCCTTCCCTCTTTTACTTATCTGTGGTGAGGTAGCTCCGGGGAGCGGACGAAGCTCCTCCCAGAAAACCAGCGTTGAATGTAATGAAACGCCATTTTCTGGGTGAGTCCCAGAGGCTCCCTGGCATCCCTTCCTCCCTTCGGTCGGCGGTGTTTTTCGAGTTTTGACATCCAGCCTAAGAACTGCCGGTTGGATTGCCGGCACAGATGGTCTGGGGCTCCTCCTTCCCCCTCCCGGGTGGGGGGAAGGGGGGGGGATTGCGCAGCACGGTGACGTGATGACGTCATGCTAGTTTGATAATTTTGTTTGGGGAGTTCTGTCCACTCGTTCAGCTTTCGGTAGCAATGTTTTAAACAGAACAGGGGTTTGTTTTGGGGTGCCTACCTTTTTGAGTGCCTGTCCCAGTCGATGGCAGACACAGAATGCTCCCAACCACAGGGAAGTTTCTATAGGCCATTGCTCCTCGTGCCTCTCTGAGGGGGCCAGGTTCTGGCTCGTGGTTTTCGGTAGGCAAAAACTCCAAGCACTTTGACTGATGCCAGAAAGTTATATGTATATCCATTCAGCCTGGATAGCTCCAGGGAGCCGACGGAGCTTCCCCCCAGAAAATGGCGTTTCATTATATTCAACGCTGGTTACCACTCTTTATTCACATATTTACTCAACTTTCTTTGTGAAGTGATCTAGTGGATTTGTTCCAGGTACGACCCAATGGATCCTTGTTTATTCGTGATGTACAGAAGACTGATGCAGGAAACCTCAGTTGTACGGCTGCCAACACTCATGGTGCTGACAGCGTTACATACATACTTACAGTACAAGGTACAGTCATTCTGTTTACACTACCAAATAAATCTCAGCATTTTAATTTAAAACACATTGAAGACCCATTGTTCTTCAAAGAAAAATTTGCTTAATTTATCATGTAAGTTTATTCTGTTAACACATATATATAATCATTTGCAGAGGTAAATCCTCACACTATGCAATGTGAGTGCAATGTTAACCAGATTTGTAACAGACAGAGACTATCAACAACAGCTGCCCGTATTTTATCCTCAACTAGACGAGTACCAGATTTGAGCAGGCTAAGCTATGAGGACAGGAGTCTAGCTCAACCAATCTCAAGGAACAGAGATAATTTATTCAATAATAGATAAGATCTTGTGAATATGCAGTACATGTTTTGTTTAATTATTTTGTCTATATTGTTATCTGTGTTGTACTTATTTTTTTGTTTCTAAGATATCAGCTTGTTTAGTTTATCCATAAAAATGGTCATGGGCTGCTATTTAGTCTTCATTGTGTAATGCATTACTTTTCCATAACCTTTATCCCTACCAACTGTTATTTTCTTTCTCTTGTGTTGCAAATTTTGTAATTATTTTTGATTCTCACTGCTTTCTTCCAAGGTTTATTTTATCTGTGCTGCATATGCTATACATTTTTCACAGCTCTATCTTTTTTTCAGGATTTTATAATATGAAAGCTGTTACAGGTAGTGTACTGTAGTAATTTTTAAACCCTCATGCTATTTTTTTTCCACAGTCCCACCAGCCCCTCCTACACTGTATGTCCAAGGTAGCTCAAGGGATGCTCTTACTCTGCGCTGGAGCTTGAGGCCTCACCATGCACCAGTCCGAGGCTACATCATGAATTACAAGCGGGAATATGGGAATTGGGAAGAGGTAAGTGCTTATTCATGCTTTCTTTGTTCAGATATCAAAACACACACACACACACACAGTGAAGAAAAGTTGTGAAAGTGGGTGCCCTGGTCTGCTGCTCAGTTGCCTTCACCTTCTGGGTGAATTTAGTGAATAGTCTGTCTGAAGTGTATTCCAGAACTACAGTTGAATATCCGTGTGTTAAATGCACTGTAGCGAATCTATCTATGGAAGATTTAGATTTTTGGTGCCTTTCAGGTTGCCTCCTTGTAGTTCCTTGCCTCTTCTGGGGCTGTAATCTCTCGTTTCCAAATGAGTGGTCTCAGTCCTGTCTGCTAGCTAATGAAGCACATTCTCTTTTTGCTGGTCTGTCAGTGGTATGCACAACTCTGGCCTGTGTCTGAGTGGCCTTCTGTTTCTCTTGGCATACCTGCTTGATGGGGTTCTGGAAGTTCTTCTACTCCCCGAGCCCGGCCCAAGGCCAGGCTTGACTTGTGAGAGCTTGGTCCAACAGGCTGTTGTTTGGAGTACAGGCCCTCATATCCACTACTCCTTGAAGAAAACTATCAAGTTTTCTCTTGAAGATGTCCACAGTTGTTCCGGCAATATTTCTTATACTCGCTGGGAGGCTGTTGAGCAACCGTGGATCTCTGATGTTTATACGGTGTTCTCTGATTGTGCTTATGGCACCCCTGCTCTTCACTGGTTCTATTCTGCAATTTCTTCCATATCATTCACTCCAGTACGTTGTTATTTTACTGTGTAGATTTGGTACCTGGCCCTCCAGTATTTTCCATGTGTATATTATTTGATATCTCTGTCTCCTTTCTAGTGAGTACATTTGGAGAGCTTTGAGATGATCCCAATAATTTAGGTGCTTTATCGCATCTATGTGTGCCGTAAAAGTTTTCTGTACTCCCTCTATTTCAGCAATCTCTCCTACTCTGAAAAGGGAAGTGAGTACTGAGCAGTACTCAAGATGGAGCAGCACAAGTGATTTGAATAGTTTGTACAACCATTGTGATGGAATCCCTGGATTTGAAAGTTCCCGTAATCCATCCTATCATTTTTCTGGCTGACGCAATATTTGTTTGGTTATGCTCCCTAAACATTAAGCCATCAGACATCATTATTCCCAAATCCTTCACATGTTGCTTTCCTACTATGGGCAGATTTGATTGTGTTTTGTACCCTGTATTATGTTTAAGGTTCTCATTTTTACCCTACCTGAGCACCTGGCATTTATCACTGTGAAACATCAGTTCATGTTAGTGAACTGATGAACTTGCAGTTGAACAACTGGACAGCAGTTTTCAACTGCTGTCCAGTTGAAAACTTTATTAATATCTACTTGTAATTTTTTAATGTCTTCAGCAGAGGTAATTTACATGCTGATTTTTGTCATCTGCAAAGGATGATACGAAGCTGTGACTTGTATTTTTGTCTGTCTGATATGAGAATAAGGAAAAGCCTGAGGTACAGAGCTTTTAACTGCTCTTGAACTTGATTTTATTTGATTGGCTGTTACTTTTTGTGTTCTGTTCGACAAAATTGCATCTGGCATGGGAGCAGTAATATGCTGCCTTTTCATATTCCTTTCCTATTATTGGTGTGGATGATGGCTGATCCTTCTTGTGTACAGTTATACCTTGATCATGTGTCCACTGTGGACTTTGTCAGCCTCAGTGGGTGGGTGTGATGTTTGGATATCGTAGCTCTGGCTCCCATTTGTAGAGAATGGTGAACCCCTTTCATCTAGCCTGGTACCTGTGAGGTGTCCTCTTTGTTTTGCTTTTTTGTTGTCCAGTCTGCTCTGGTTACCAGAGTTATCAACTCTAACTTGCCCAGTACTGTATCTGTGTCTTGAGGCTCTTGTATGAGGCTCTGCTTCTTTTAGAAGCTGGTGGTGGGGCCCTCGCTAGATAGTTTGCATCTCTCAACTAGTGTTCATGTTGAGGCTTCTTGGTCTCCGATTTTTAATCTTTCTTTGAGGGGGGGAGGGGCTGCATGTTGTGGACCAAGTATGTTTTTAAGAACTCCCTGTATCCCCATCATGTCTTCATTAATGGTGTTGTAGGTGAGTTCATTAATAACATTGTTCCTTCAGATACCTTTTAGGTCATTACTTGTTGCTTGAATTTGGTGGAGCCTCACTGGTGACGCATTTCATTTGATCTTGCCTTCCGCCCTGTTTGCCGAGTTGGTCTGTACTTAGCTCTTGACTTTAGCCGACACATGCTTCTCTTGAGCCTTCCTAGCTTCTAACTCTCTTGCAGTTTTTGTCTTGAGCTCAATTCAATGTTTCCTTTTCTTTGTGTTTTGTTATAAAGCAACATTCCAGATCACACTGGTGGTGAGAAGCTGTGTGAGCATGCTTCTTACTCTTCGTTATTGGTGTCCTCGTTCATTTGGCTCAGGTGACAGGTTGTGCTGCTGCAAACAGCTTCCTCATTCCTAGCTCAGAATAGTTCTCAGTTGTCTCTGAACATTCACCGGGAAATCACATTCAGCTTACATTTGCTGTTAACTTGTATGATCCATATATTGGGTATATGATATCTTCTCGGAGGGCCTAAGCTCCCAGAATCTATATATGCATTAGTCTATTGCTCAGAAAAATTATATACATTAGCACTCAAAGCCAAAAGTTAAAATTTTTTAAATTATTTTTAATTATATTTAATTATATGTAAGTTCATTACACAGTTTTAGTTTAATACATTTTAAATACCATCCACACATCATCTTCTGTTTACCCATTGTTAATTTTTCGTGTGCAAAATATATTTTTATTTACAAAACAGTAATTGTGTTAGTTTTATTGTTTAATCTAGGTGGAGCTTCACACAGCGAGGACAACCCACACCCTGTCGGGTCTCGTCTGTGGCTCCCGGTACCAGTTATATGTGACAGCTTATAACAAGGTGGGCACTGGCCTGCCTTCAGAGATCCTCACCACCTCCACCAAGGGTTCAGGTACATCTCATACAATGTCTGTATTTTTTTTTTGCACCTATTAACCCTTCGATAGTGATTTGGACCACAGGTGCAATTTTTGACCTTTCTAGTTGTTTAGAAAAAGTTTCTATTTGCTGCAATATTCGGGCATACAGAACAGGAATTGGGACATCTGTAGTTGGTATAGCTGCCTCTAGGTGACAGAAAAGCATTATCCATGTGGTAGTTCAAAAACCACTCGTAGTACAACCACCCAGCCGGTCGGCCGAGCGGACAGCATACTGGACTTGTGATCCTGTGGTCCCGGGTTCGATCCCGGGCGCCGGCGAGAAACAATGGGCAGAGTTTCTTTCACCCTATGCCCCTGTTACCTAGCAGTAAAATAGGTAGCTGGGTGTTAGTCAGCTGTCACAGGCTGCTTCCTGGGGGTGGAGGCCTGGTCGAGGACCGGGCCGCGGGGACACTAAAGCCTCGAAATCATCTCAAGATAACTTCAAGAAATATACACAGGTATAATTAATGGATGTTTGTTTATTGTGACATGCATAAATAATTAAGCATATTAAGGTTGATTTGCATGCTTTGTGATAACATTGTTTTTGTAAAATGTTTTCTTTCTTATTCAAGTCTTTTTCACCATTATGAGTGCTGTATTGAGTAAAGCTAAATACAAAAATAGCATTTTCTGGTGTGGGGCTGCTACTCTCACACCACCTCATACTGTCAGTCCTAGTGAACTATTGTGTAATATATAACTTTGTCATGATTGGCAATGTAAACATTTGTTTTGCATGTTATGCAGGTTATAATATAAATTGAATAAATGTACAGTATGTGCATTATATAAACTTTATATAGCACATTTTTAGAAATGTCTTGTTTTCCAGGAATGTATCTGCTTTATTATATAAGGGTCACTTAAGGACCCAATTATATAAGGGTCACCTGTATATTAGGGAAGACTGAATCCTGTTATGCTTAAGATAAATTATATAGTGTAGTGCTATTCTGAAGAACATTCTATTCTCAGTTTTGGTATGACAGCTTGTATCTGAAACAGCCTCCAGCTCTGAAGACTAACTTCCATCTTTAGTACAGCACAATGTGTCTATGAACATTATTTTTATCAGTATGTTATCAGAACCACAAATTACCATCAATTGAGTATTTATATTTTACCTCAGAACCTGTGGTGCCGAGTCGATCTCGCCTCTTGGACGTCAACTCCACATCAGTGTTGGTGCATCTCAGTACATGGGGTGATGGAGGATGTCCTATTCTCTATTATGTCATAGAATATCGTGCTTCCTCGTCCAGGGTCAGTTTGAATTATTTTTGGTTGTTTATATGATGACCGAGTCCAATTTTTTGTCTTTAATTATATGACAGCACTTATTATTTGCTCATTAAGAATTTTAATTTTTTCAGTGTGATAAATTTTGTAATGCATGTATGGACTGTTCCATATTGCCCCCTCCCCCCACTAAATGTTGAATATAGAAAATATTCATTGCAGGTGTAGACTGATAATAAATTCATTTGATTTTAATACAACACACAAACTTCAACTTGTCCAGCATTACTTGTACTACGAGTTGATTGGTGTGTGATGTAATATCTTTGTGTGTGTGTATAGTTACTACATACATAAATGTAATTACTTAAGTGTAGTCACAGGATGAGAGTTACCTTGACACAAAATAGAAAACAAAAAGTTACAAAAGACACAAAAATGGAATCAATATAGGAAAAGGCCAAACCCCCAAACATACCAGCGATACAAAGATGCGAGAAACAACTACACGGCAGTGAGGAGAGAGGCAAAGAAATTTTGAAAAAGGGATTGCGGACAAATGTAAAACAGAACCGGGTCTATTCTATAAATTTATAAACAACAAATTGCAGATAAACGATAACATTCAGAGGTTGAAAATGGGAAATAGATTTTCGGAAAATGAAAAGGAAATGTGTGAAACATTAAACGAAAAGTTTAATGTTTTAATGTCTGGGGGGGCAATCTTGAGCACCTCAGTGAGTGCTTGTTTGCTACTGCTCTTTCCCTGGATGTTGGTGTTCTGCAGCTCCATGTGCAGGTTCCCTCCCTTTCAGCTGCGCAGGTGGCCGAGGATTTGCGCGCCAGGGGCCTCTTGGCTTCGGCCTTGCGTTTCTTTTCCCTCCTGGAGCTGTCTTCGGACTGGCTTGGGGAGGATGTGGGGACGCTCGGGGCCGTTCTGGGGTCTGGTGCCTTGGGCTCGGCTGCTCACGTGTCGGCTGCCTTGTTGAAGCTGTTTGCGCCGATCTTGCGGGATGCGGTTGCCCAGTTTTACGCTTCCCAGCTTGCGTGTCGATAGGCGGTGCTTGCCTCCTCTCTGGAATCGGCCTGGGCCCTGGCTTTTAGGATGTCTTCGCCCTTTTGTCCTCTGCTTTCTGCTCCTGCAGCCGTAGCGCAGTGTATTCAGGCTGCTTCGGCCAGTTGCTGTCCGATATTGGACTTGTTAGTTCTCTGGGGGTTTGGAGGGGAGGTGGTGGAGGCCTACCCGTAGGGGTCATGCCAGGGCTCGGGGTTCCTTTCGTCGTGGTAGGCCACTAGTGCCAGGTTCGGGCTTGGCTCCGGCTTTAGACCCGTCTTCGACTGGTAGGCGCAGTATTCGCCCTGTGCAGGGTTCTGGGTCTCGTAAGGGATGCCAGCCCATTTGCAGTTCGCCCCATTCATGGAACGATGGGGGGGAGGCTCGCGCTGTTCACGCTTGGTCCCACGATTTGTGGGCATTTCAGGTCGTTTCCTTCGGTCTGCGGTGGCGTTGGGTGGCCCCTCGTCCTTCGGGGGGTTTGGGGCTGGTAGGGCAGGCTTCTTCTGTGCTCCGTTGAGTTGTCTTGGGCGTCGTCAAAACGACGTTGTCCCTCAGATGGGTTTCCTGTCTGTTTCCAGTGCCGAAACGGAACTGTGCGGACCTGAGGTTCATTCTGGACTTATCCCGTCTGAACCCCTGGGGTTCATTGCCCCTCCTTTCGGATGACTACGCTGTCTCAGGTTCGGCTCCTCTTGGAACCGGGAGCTTGGATGGTGTCCCTGGACCTCCGGGACGCTTATTGACACGTCCCGATTCATCCGGAGTTCAGGGACTGGCTCGGTTTTGTTGTGGAGCATCAAGGTTACCACTTCAGTTGTCTCCCGTTCAGGTTGAATCGGGCGCCTCGCGTGTTCACACGCCTTACACGGGTCGTCGTGGCCCATCTGCGTCTTTTAAGTGTTTGGGTGTTGGCCTACCTCAACGATTGGCTGGTTTGGTCTCCCAGCCGGTCCAGTTGTCTTGCTCCTCGTGCCTCTCTGAGGGGGGGCCAGGTTCTGGCCGTGTGGTCCCCAGTAGGGCTAGAACTCCACCCACATCGATTGATGCCAAAAGTTAGGACTATCTCTTATCAGCCTGGATAACTTCCGGGGAGGCTCCTGGACTTACCCAGAAAATGGCATTTCATTACATTCAAGGCTGATTTTTTGTTTGTAAAGTTTTGATGCATGTGGTGGAGTTGGCATCCTCTACTCTGTATTTAATTTATTCCATTCATCTACCACTCTGCAGAAGTGAATTGTTATGTTTTATCGACAACTTTGCTTTTGAAGCTAGAGTTTATGATCTCGGAATCTTAACATCACTGGATTAAAATATTCAGTGTCAATTCCTACTAGTTTTGACAAACAGCACATCCTCCAAAATCTGAATTATGTCATTGTGGATCTGAGCCAGATTTGCATATAATAAAAATTTCCATATAACTGCCTTCTTTTGGCTATTTATCACTAAATTTAAAGAAGTTTTCCTATTCCATATGATTCAAAATACTGTATGTTCTACATATTGACAAATACAAATAATATAACAAATACTTTTGGTGTCATATTAATTATAATACATACATTTTCCATCATGTCATGACCCTAATTTTTGTCTTTTACATTTTTGTGAAAATTCACTTGAATTATGCATTAATTTTTGTTCAATAATTTCACTGGTAAAATCTGTAAAATATTATTTATCCATAACTGACTTTTCCAGGATTGGATTTCTGTAGCCAACAATGTTGCTGCCAATGAAAAAACATATGTGATCCGGGACCTGACACCTGCCACACGTTATGCTGTCAGAGTTACAGCTCACAACCACGCTGGTTCCAGTGTGGCTACATATGATGTCAAAACATTAACTCCTGAAGGAGGTATGTCTGTAGTGTAGTGAGTTTTGTACCCACTTTAATGATTATTTGCCTTGTTTCCCTCAGGATAATTCATTTTTATTCAACCAGTTGCTTGTTTTGATGCACTCAAAACATCAAACTCAAAACAACAAAACATCAAAACTCAAAACTTTGTCTTTGTTCTCAGTTTTGACTCGATCTCTCGGCCCAAAACTTCCTCTGCCTAATTGAGCCTAATTTCTAATTTAACCTAATTTCTAATTTAACATAATTTCTCGGTTGGCACAGCACAGTGGTTAAAGATAAATTTATGTAAATTACACTGTGACGATGACCTTTAGTTTTGTGTGTATTGACAGGTTTGCCAGGTACAATCCACAGTGAATTAAAGATGTGAACTGAGTAACACTTTATCAACAGTGTTGTTGCTAGATGAAGATCCCCCCAATGGAGGAGTAGCCTCGCCGCCCCTCTACCAGGACCTGAGGGTCGTCATACCAGCAGCAGTAGTAGTGGTCATTGTCATTGAGGTCATCATGGCAATTGTATGTGTCTTCAGGAGGAGGAGTGAGTTTTGCATTTTGTTCTAATGTGCAATGTGAGATCACATCTAAGTGTATATGTTTGTATCAGTTGCAGTTCATAAACCATTCAACTTGTCTATGCATTTTGCCATTGTGACTGATGTTTTGTAATACAGTATTTGCTTCCTGTCATTATCTAACCCTAAAGTTAGACTTCATATGTCCTGGAATAAGCTTTTTGATGATAATGTGTTGGACTTGATGCTGGTTCTGTGTGATGATGTTTAGTAAGATATGCTGAATGAACATGTATAGTTAATATTTGCAGCCTTTCTTACACTGATAAGCCTGTCTCTAGGCTGCCTTCCCACCCAGAGTGGGACGTGAGATAATGGTGATGGCTCTACATTTTCTCATTTACTATATTCATTTGTCCTATAATTTTCATTTACTCTGCCCTATGGCTTTAGTAGCTTTGAAATACAGTAGGATCATGGTGCTATGCTAGAGAATTTAACATGCACCAATTCAAAATGTACAGTAATTTAAAATTTAGTTTAATATTAATAACAATTGGTTTTATGGAAGTTTGTGTCAATGTATTTTCATACTGTTTCTTCAAAATAACATGTAATCTAAATCATTTAAAATTTAATCTAATAGCCACTTTAAAACTAGTAATCATTGAAATATCTATTGCAATGGCCTCATTGAATATAATCACAGATTATGAAATTTCTTAAATACTAAGTTATTGTTTCAAAATACTAGTTGAAAGTAATGAAAGGCCAGTTTCTTGTATAGAAAAAATTGTTTCATTGAAGATACACTTATCAGTGATAGTGTACCAACTACTAAGTTGCATCAGCCGCAAAGTTCTATTGGCCTACCTACTGGGGACAAGCGCCAGAACCTGGTCCCCTCATAGAGGTGCATGGAGCAGTGACATTTATATATTTATTTACGTCACCAACAGGGAAGGCACCCAGAAAGTCAACCAAACAAAACAGACCACTGCTGGCTTCAAACAAGACTGCAGCCTCACGAACCATCAATGTAAACAAATGATTGAAATCTCTTGAAACTAGCACTAGCTCATTTGCCCCACCTCCCCCACTCATTTGGGAGAAAGGGGTGGCAGCTCAGTCAGCCAGCTCCTCCATCCTCAGCTCTATGCTGTGTGTAATGTGTACTGGGTCTCCTCTCTGCTGCTTGGGCTTCAGTATTGCTGTTCCAGCTAAGTGGTGGTTTTTGCCTTTGTGAGCATTTCCTGTACACTGTGACATGTAGCATGAGTGGTTGGAGCTGCATGTACTTATGGTTATCTTCCCTGTGTGTTCCCTAGTGCTGCCCTTGCACTTTAGGGTTCTCTTCCATGGGGTGTTCAAGAATTGCTCCCTTAGGGGTTCTCCTTGCTTGTAGTGGTCCTCATGCAGGGTGAGTCAAGTCTTTTTAGATTTTCTTGCATTTACTCAGGTCAGATGTCACATTGGCTGGGGTGCACTGGATATTCATATGCTACACTTTAGTGCAGCATACAAATGCACTTTAGCAGCCTTCACAGTCATACGAGCAGTTTGCTTACTACATCGTCTCTATACATTCTATATAGTTTTGCATGACTACCTTCAATTAAAGATCTAGTGTCTGTTAGGGCAATTCCTTTGGTCCCTGGGAATCTGGTTCTGTGGTCCCAAGAATGTACCCTATGAACCTGCTCTCACCTTGTGGGAGTTTGAGGGTTGTGTGTTGTCTGTGTCATGTAGCGACACTCATTCTTTCTGCCTCCCCCATGGAACATGCTGGATCAGTGACACTTTCGACCTTGAGTCATATCAGATATGTTCCCTACATGTTGCCCTTCTTCCTGACTTACTTAACAAGGCTAGGGCTTTTCACTGTGCATTAGTTTTTCTAAGTTGCAGCAGTCTAGGTTGTGTGCCTGGCCCTGGAGTTACCTCATTTGGTGTTTAGGGATCTTGAATTGGAGGTGTTGGTAAATTCTTCCTTGGTTCTGTCCACACCACCTCTTCCTTCCTCTTTGGGCATAGTTCACCTTTTATGTGATCCTTCCCTCTCCTCTACTTCTGGCCCCAAAGTGTGTGATGGTTTTGGGGTTAGGGCAGGGTATAGCTCAGGATATGGCTTGGTAAGCTCTAGGGGTTGCCCCTTCAGAATCAGGCATGGAAGCAGTTGAGCTTGCTTATCCCACCAATGCTTCTGGGTTTTCCTTTCAGCAAGCCCCTTCTTCCTCTGAAGCCTTTCGCTTGGACTCATGCCTTCCTATACCAGGCAGTGGATAAGGATGGTGGCTTTGCCCTGTGGCCCTCTGCTGCAGCTTCTAGGGGAGTTAGACATGAGTCCTTGGGTCCCCTTTGACTCTTGTGGTTCCATGTTCCTTCTGAAGAGTGCCTTCTTTTACAGAGTAAGTGGTTTTTCCTTTCCCTTCCTGTCTGTATGAGTATAATTTGGGTGCTCTTCTGCCCCACCCCACCTCCCTGGGGCTCTCTTCCGGGTACCTTCTGGCCCATCGGGCTCACCCTTCCAGAGGTTTCTGTCCTCTTGAGTCCCACTGCTGTGGCTCGAGAGGCCCTTTTTCAGTACCTTCTGTGAGACCCAGATTAGGCCTCTCCTATGTACTTTGCCTCTTTTGAGTTTAGGTCTTCTATCAGTTTTGGATTCATTATGAGGTTCTGGAGTCTTTCTGGATAGCAGGCAATCCATTGAGTTTGCTTGGGGTATTGTGCAGCTTTTGTTGTACCAGCATACTGGAGTGATGTTGAGGTGTTAACTGTGTTTTTAGGTTGTTTCTGAGATGCTCTTCTTTTGAGTCTCTCAATGACTGCATGTTTGTCTCCCACTCTTTCTTGGGATGTGGGTCTTGTGTAGCTCTGTGCCCAGGTTTTCCTGTTGTCAGTGACGCTGGTGGCAGATGACCTTCATGCCCATCAGTATCTGGGTTCCACACACAAGTCAAGCCTGACCACGGGCCAGGCTTGGAGAGAAGAAGAACTCCCAGAACCCCATCAAGCAGGTATCGTGCACTTCTTGGGTCTCCATTAGCTTCGCTCAGATTGGACCATGGAGATCAAAGGGGGTGCTTTGTCAGGGATAGCTTGCAGAAGTCTTAGCCTTTGCTGTTGTGGCATCAGCTGTGCTCCCCAAGCTGTATGCTCCCATGCTCTAGAAAGCAGTGGCCACCTTCATTGCCACATGACTCGCATGTTGTCAGGCTGAGTTGGCCCAGCCTCTAGATTCAGCGTGGGCCCTTGATCACCTGTCTGCTTCTTTGTTTTCTTCGCTTCTATTTCCCGAGGAACTGGTTGCCGAATTCTTGTCCCCGGCAACTAGTGCTTGTTGGGCCTTTATGGCCCGTACGTCTGTTTGGGGTACTCGTGCTTGGTTTTGATAGGTAGGTCAGGTAGGTCTGAGTATTGCCTTCTTATTAAGGTAGGCCATCAGTAGAGTCAGACACCGGGTCGCATGCACCTCCTGCGGCTAGTCCGATGTCTGCTCAGTTTCTTGCTTGCTCTTTTCAGAAGGATGGGGGTCTCAGGGTTCACACCAGTCCTTTAATGGTTTTCCCCTTTGATGGGGGGCATTGAGGGATGTGGCTGTGTGTGCTGATTCCAGGTCCCACAGTTTGTGGACTTTTCAAAACATTTCTTGCGGCCTCTGGTGAGGTTGTCAGTTCTTTCTCCTGTCGTGGGTTCAAGCCTTTGAGGAAGTCTGCCCGGAAAAGGCCTGAACTCCCTTCAGGAGGACAAACTGACCAACTCCACCACAGGCTGCAAGAAACGACCTGAAAAGACCATTAATCATGGGATCAGGTGTTGGTAAACCGGGCGAACTGTGAAAGGGCCAGTGAAAACCCTGAGAGACTGCTTTCTGAAAGGAGTGAGCGTGGCACCAACCACAGGACTGGCTGCAGGAAGTGCATGCGACCTGGCATCTGACTCCACCAATGGCCTATCCCAATCAACAGATGACAATACCCTAGACCTAGCTGACTGCCTTGAAAACTGACCATGAGCACCCCGAACATATGGTCTGTAAAGGACTGACAAGCAGTGGCTAAAGTGGACAAGAACTGGGTGACCACATCCTCAGGAAATAAAAGCTGAGAAAAACAGAGAAGTGGACAGGAGAGCAAGGTCCCATGCTGCATTTAGAAACCGGGCTAACACAGCCTGTTGATACAAGAGTTGTGTGGCAAAGAATGTGACCACCATCTCTTGGAGCATGTGAACACACAGCTTGAGAAGTGCAGCCAATGTGCAACAGCAGAGGTCAAAACCCCTACAAGTGGCCTAGGTGCCCCCGATGTTCTCCATGAGACAATCCAAATGCAACTAAAGGAGGCCCAAAAAGCACCCAATGGAACCTAGATGATAATGGGCATGAAGGTCATCTGCCACCAGCATTGCTGACAATCGGGAACCTGGGCCTGGAGCTGCACGAGACTCACATCCTGAGAAAGATTGAGGGACAAACATGCAGTCATTGAGAGACTCGGAAAACAAGCCTCCCAGAAACACCTGAAACACATTTGACACCTCAACATCACTCGAGCATTTTGGTACAACTAAAGCGGCACCATTCCCCAAGTGAAAACAAGGGACTGCCTACTTAGCCAGGAAGACCCCAGATCCTTTAATGCAAGGATCTGTGGTACTGTTTGGGAAGAAAACCCAAACTCAGAAGAGGCAGGGTCTATCAGCGAGGTGTAATCCAGGTCATACAGGAAATACTGAAAAAAGATCCTCCCTGAGATACAGAAGGAAGGACTCAAGAGGACAGAAACCTCCAGAAAAATGAACCTGATGGGCCCCAATGCACGCGGAAATCAACCCTAGGGAAAGCCACACCCAACTCATACTCATACAGAGAGGAGTAGAATAAGAAAACCCCTAACCCCTGTGAAAGAAGACCCTCCTCAAAGGGAACTAGGAAACGCATAGGGTCAAAAAAGAACCCAAAGTCCCCATATCCGACCTCCAAAAAACCACTAAAGCCGCAGCAGAGGGCCTCAGGGCAGAGCCGGCGTCCTCGCACACCTCATGGACTAGGAAGGTGGAGTCCAAGGGAAAGGCTTCAAAGGACGAAGGGGCTGGCTGAAAGGAAGACCCAGAAACCTTGATGGGATTAGCAAGCTCATCTACCTCTGCGCCTGATTCAGAAGGGGCAATCCCCAGAGATGACGGAGCTATATTCTGAGCTGCACCCTGCCCCAACCCTGAAACCCTCAGATGCTTTGGTGAAGCAGGATGGAAGGATCAAGGGAAAAATTAACTATACCCAAAGGGGACGGAAGAAGAGGTGACGATATAACCAAGGTAGAATTTACCAACATCATCAATTCCAGGTCTCTAAACACCAAACAAAGCATGGCCATGCACTCAGCTCTGGGTCCAGATTCATGGAATTAAATTTTTATAAAGAAATGCAAGCTGCCAGTAGCACAGGCACTCGGTATAGTGTGGAGGAAGAGCATGGACACGGGGGAAGAGATACCAGATATACTTAAAGTAGCAAACATTGCCCCTCTACACAAGGAAGGGAGCAAAGCATTGGCAAAGAATTATAGACCAGTTGCACTAACATCCCACATAATAAAAGTATTTGAGAGAGTGATTAGGAGTCAGGTCACCAACTTCATGGAGACTAATGACCATCACAACCCAGGCCAACATGGATTTCGAGCGGGAAGATCGTGCCTCTCACAGCTACTTGATCACTACGACAAAGTCACTGAGGCATTAGAAGAAAAACAGAATGCTAATGTGGTATACACGGACTTCGCAAAAGCATTCGATAAATGTGACCATGGAGTGATAGCATACAAAATGAGGTCAATGGGAATAACCGGTAAAGTAAGACAATGATTACTCAGTTTTCTGTCAAACAGGATACAACATGTAACAGTCAATCATATAAAATCAAGTCCAAGCGCAGTTAAAAGCTCTGGACCTCAGGGTACAGTCCTTGCACCACTGCTTTTTCTTATTCTCATATCAGATACATACAAAAATACGAGTTACAGCTTCGTATCATCCTTTGCAGATGACACAAAAATTAGTATGAAAATTACCTCGGCTGAAGACATTGAAAAACTTCAAGCAGATATTAATAAAGTTTTCGACTGGGCATGAGAAAATAACATGTTTAACAGTGATAAATTCCAGGTACTCAGGTATGGTAAAAATGAGGACCTTAAACATAATACAGGGTACAAAACACAATCAAATGTGCCCATAGTAGGAAAGCAGCATGTAAAGGATTTGGGAATAATGATGTCTGACAACCTAACGTTTAGGGAGCATAATCAAGCAAATATTGCGTCAGCCAGAAAAATGATCGGATGGATTACAAGAACTATCAAATCCAGGGATCCCATCACAATGGTTGTACTATACAAATCACTTGTACTGTCCTGTCTTGAGTACTGCTCAGTACTCACTTCCCCGTCAGAGCAGGAGAGATTGCCGAAATAGAGAGAATACAGAGAACATATACGGCATACATAGATGCAATAAAGCACCTAAGTTATTGGGATCGTCTCAAAGCTCTCCAAATGTACTCACTAGAAAGAATACAAGAGAGAGATATCAAATAATAGACATGTGGAAGATACTGGAGGGCCAAGTACCAAATCTACACAGTAAAATAACAACATACTAGAGTGAACGATATGGAAGAAAATGCAGAATAGAACCAGTGAGGAGCAGGGGTGCCATAGGTACAATCAGAGAACACTTATAAACATCAGAGGTCCACGGTTGTTCAACATCCTCCCAGCGAGCATAAGAAATATTGCCAGAACAACCATGGAAAACTAAAATCAGACACTGGGATGCGACACTGGATCTTTAATTGAAAGTAGTCATGCAAAACTATATAGAATGTGTATAGATGACGTAGCGAGTCAGCATAGCAGCTGCTTGTATGGCTGTGAAGTCTGACCTCGGCTAGCTAAAGTGCAGCATGTGAATACATTGTGCACCCCAAGTAAGTCAATATCACACCCAATCCAAGGCAGGAAAATCTGAGGAAACATAACTCCCACTGGGTGAGGACCACCACAAGCGAGGAGGATCCCCTAAAGGAGTGGCTCCTGAACACTCCAAGGAAGAGAACCCTGAAGCACAAGAGCAGCACTAGGGAGCACACAGGAAAGACAACCCTAAGCACATGCAGCTCCAAGCACTCTTTAAATTCAGGCTAATACTAAATGTCACAATGTATAGGAAACTCCCACAAAGGCAAAACTACCACTTAGCTGAAACATCAATACTGGAGCCGAAGCAGCAGAGATGCAACCCACACACAATTACACCTATCAGCGCAAGACTGGAGGAGGAGCTGGCAGACTGTGAGCTGCCTCCCCTTTCCCTGAAATGAGTGAGGAAGGTGAGACTAATGAACTAACCCTAGTTTCAAGAGATTTTTATAGTTTTCATTGTTGGGGGAATTCTTTCAGCAGTTCTCAAGGCTGTGGTCTCGTTTGAAGTCAGCAGTGGTCTGTTTTGTTTTGCTAGCTTTCTAGGTATCTTCCCAGTAGTGGCATAAATAGATGTCACCACTCCCTACACCTCTGTGAGGGTGGGGTGGGCGAGCTCTGTTCAGGGATTGGTTCCCAGAATGCCTGTAGAACTCCACAGCTGATGTGATCTAGTAGTTGGTACACTATCAGTGATAGTAGCTTCAGGTAGCCACAAGGGGCTCTACCAAGAAAACAGTGTCTTGCCAGATATAAGTTGTCTGATTTATACTGATTTCGCTGCACTACCAGATAATTGGTTCATTAAAAGAATTTATTTTGATAAGGCAGATGATCCATTTGTGAGACCAATATGGCAAAATTCTGCAATATGGGGGAGAAAGGATTTCCTGAAACACCATGTGCTTAATATACAAATTTATTCACTAAATTAGAACACAAAACAAAAATGTATTTATGTAAAGGGGGATAACTGTCTACTTTAAGAGGTGTCCTAGGCAAATCTACATACATTATCATCTCTTGCCGACGATAGCCAGGTGACATAACACAACCAAACCTTACCATTTAATATGAACACCAAGCAATAGCGGCTGCCTAAACAGCACTGCCATATACCAAGAGACAACTTGGAGCTCAAAGTGATGCTCCAGAAATTATTTGCATGCCCATAAAAATTGACATGCGTTTAAAGTCAGGGGTCCTTGCTAGAAATGGCCGCACCAGATCTTGGACAACAAACACCACCTCAACTCGCCTGGGACGGTCTCGCTTCATGCAGGTCTGCATTCACTCCCCGACTGTCCAATTGGTTGGGTACCATTCCATTTCTTGTAACCCACGCTGGCTACAACAATGGATGAATGTCAGCTCATTTTCAAGTTGTTCCAATTTTTTTTTCTTTAAAGTTATCTCCTTATTTCTTCTTTAGTTTAGAATTGCCTTTCTTCATTTATCACTTATATTTTCATAATTTTTTCCACTCACAGAATGTACTTGGGACTATTTATATAAGCATTGGGTAACTGTTTACCTGTTTTTAGAGGGGTAAACAATTCACACCTCATAAATGATATCTGCTGTCTTGGTGGGAGTTTCAAGTCCACGTTACAGCATGACAACTGTTTAAACAAATTACAAAGTCCCTTTCTCCATCCTCACTGTATTCAGATTAGAGGTAGTATTTTGAACTTTCACTCATCTTTCTACAGAGATGCGTGAGCGAGGAGGCTCAGGAGGGATGGCAGAGTCTCCCTCCACAGCACAAATACAGAACCAGCAGAACCAGCACCAGCAATATTCCGCACTCCCCGTTACCACACCATCTACCCAAGATACTGCCACCAATAAGGAATCATCTGGTAATGGAACAGTTGATGGTAAACTTTATATCATTGTTATGTTGATATTGTTGTTGTTCTGTACTCTTTAAGAGCTAGTATCTCCTTAGTTTGAAATAATGATTGTGATTCACTATTAATTTAAATTAACATGTGTAAATTCCAGTTTTCTGTGTTAATTAACATTGCAAAAACTAAATGCTTAATTTTATTACAATGTTAAATTCATTATTGATTAATTTTTTTCAGTGCTGCTATTGAAGCTCAAAGAAGTAATTTAATAATAATAAGTGAATCTGATAAGTGACATACATTACAATGTAAAGTATATAGTAGCCTATACAGTACGTGAATAATCAAAGCCATGAAGGTTATTATAAATACGGTATACACTCTGCTCCTTGCCAGCCATGTTGATGGTGGGGAAGGCTCATAACGGACCTCCCCATCATGCATACACAGGTGTACTCATTGATTTCTCTTTATAGTTTACGTTTAGTTTATTATTGTTCATTATGAATTAACATGTTTGTTCTACTCACTTATTACAATTTAGTTTATTATTGTTCAGTTTGTTCTTATTTACTTTATATGTATTAGTTTAATCAAATTATTCCTAATTCCACATTTCGCTCAACCTCGAAAATCAAGCGCGTGCAAAACGCAGCTTTTTCTGGGGAGAGCAAACCAGCTGCTGCTCTGTGGGTGGAAGGGGGAAGGCTTCAATCATTAGGCTTCCAGCCTAATGATACGTAAGGGCTGGACCTCCTCACTCTAGCATCTTCCTCCACATAAAGCATGTGATGTGGGGTATCCCCACCAGCTGGGCTGATAGTGCAACCCTCCCACCCCACCTTTGTGCACCCACACTTCACTCTTACATTGGTTCCTAGCTTATCACAGTTACTGCTTAGTTACATTCTCCCCAACCTTGTGTTTCAGGCCCTTACCATGTGAACCTTCCTCATCTTAAGGTTAACATTTATTACCCATTTACTTTAATTTACCCAGTTACTTTGTCTTTTTAGTTTTTAGTTTATTAATGTGCACTTACTTTATAATTACTTTTCTGTTTAGTTTATTAAAAATTAATTTCCATATTCTGTGTTTTGTTCGACCTTAGAAATACTCTATTAAAGTGTGAAATTTCTTTAGTAGAATGTTTGTTAAATGTGAATCTTAGGCTACAAGTGCATTGTTTGTGTGCGTGTGTGTGTGTGTGTGTGTGTGTGTGTGTGTGTGTGTGTGTGTGTGTGTGTGTGTGTGTGTTTACTAGTTGTGTTTTTGCGGGGGTTGAGCTTTGCTCTTTCGGCCCGCCTCTCAACTGTCAATCAACTGTTTACTAACTACTTTTTTTCCACACACCACACACACACCCTGTGTGTGTGTGTGTGTGTGTGTGTGTGTGTGTGTGTGTGTGCGCGCATGTGTAGTTCCCATGCTAATCTCTAATCTAAATTTTTAATGATCAGCTGGAAAAGTACAGCCATTTGTCTCCAAGAACGAACAAGTTACATTCTGAGAATGTGTTTGTAAAACATTTGTTCAGAATACAAAATGAGATTTTCCATAGGTACAATACTATAAATGGGGGATGTCTTTCCACATCACCAAAAAATCATCACAAAATTCATAATTTTAGAATTTATATTACACAAAATACAATCTATTATTTACCTTGAATGATGAAGTTATCCTACTTGTCAAACTTGACTGATTTTTGAGGAGTGAAGAGATCTAGCTGCTGGGTTGGCGATGCGTCAAGGGTTTTAATGCATCAGCAGCAGAGGGTGGCTGGTCATTTTCAGTCTCACTGGCTACATTTGATGTGGGAGATGATGGGTTGGTGGCAAACACCTGTGGCTCATCATCAGTGTCACTAACTGCTGTAGAAGTTGATGGTTTTGGGTCAAACTTCCCAAAAATAATTTCCAAATGGTTTTAAAAAAACAAACTTTTTCCTGAAGATTGCCGAGGAAATTGATGGGCTGGAGGCTTTCAGGAAATATATTCTCATAGTACTTTGTAAAACAATCTTCTTTTCAATGTAAATTTACTTATAGGGTGCAAGGCAATTGCACCTCAATCCATTATGTCAACGACGATTCTGGTCCTCAGTCCATTATGTCAACAATGATTCTGGTCCTCAGTCCATTATGTCAACAATGATTCTGGTCCTCAGTCCATTATGTCAACAATGATTCTGGTCCTCAGTCCATTATGTCAACAATGATTCTGGTCCTCGGTCCATTATGTCAACAATGATTCTGGTCCTCGGTCCATTATGTCAACAATGATTCTGGTCCTCAGTCCATTATGTCAACAATGATTCTGGTCCTCAGTCCATTATGTCAACAATGATTCTGGTCCTCAGTTTATTATGTCAACGACAATTCTGGTCCTCAATCCATTATGTCAACAATGATTCTGGTCCTCAATCCACTGTCAACGATGATTCTGGTCCTCAATCCACTGTCAACGATGATTCTGGTCCTCAATCCATCATGTCAACGACAGTTCTGCTGCTCAATCCATTATGTTAACAACTTTTCCATCTCGTGAATTAAATATGATCTTTTCCTTATTGTTTTATATTTCAGTAGCGTGAAACCTCTGCACATGTTGTAAAATCCATGCTTTGGCTTTTAAGATGGTTGCCAAATGAGTGGTTCACACTGTAAATGTTTGCAATACTTTATTTCAAGAGTGCTTAATAATGTCTAACTTCGTCTTTAAAGTAATGAATGGGTTGTCTTTTCCTTAACACTGGTGCATTATCAACATTCTTCCTCTTCCTATCAGCCATTGATAGTGGTATTTTCCTCAATATAGTCCATAGAAAGCATATCACTGGCTAGTCTGGGCATGAGAAAACTTTTGTATCTGTGGAGAACCACGCTGCCTCAGCCAAGTCGCATCTTACACACAACGGTATACCAACGTATTTTAAATCATACCTAACCTGACCCAACCAAGTTTAACCTAACTCAACAGAGCCTAACACAGCATAATCTAAGCTATATCCATCATAAACAAACTACTGTATATATACTGTTTTGACAATTGGAAAATAAGCTGCCAAAACGTCTTGCGTACGGTTTGACCTTCCATGCCGAACCATCTTGAGGTTATTTTGAGATAATTTCGGGGCTTTAGTGTCCCCGCAGCCCGGTCCTCGACCAGGCCTCCACCCCCAGGAAGCAGCCCGTGACAGCTGACTAACACCCAGGTACCTATTTTACTGCTAGGTAACAGGGGCATAGGGTGAAAGAAACTCTGCCCATTGTTTTTCGCCGGCGCCTGGGATCGAAACCGGGACCACAGGATCACAAGTCCAGTGTGCTGTCCGCTCGGCCAACTGGCTCCCTAAACGGTCATGTGGACGTTTTTTGTACAAAACAGTACTCCACTATGACTACCATGTGGACATTTTAGCATGCTGCTTGTAAAATTGGGGATGCTTGCTAATTGATTTAATGAATGAAGGGGAGAATTAAGAGCATGTTTAGATGAATGTTCGTATAATGGGTGTTCATATCATGGGGACCTCTTGCACTATACTGTAAGCTCACTTATCCAAATTATATGGGAAGGACCCCCTGCAAGATAAGCCAGACATTTGGATAAGCAGAATTCTTACAGGGAAAGTCTAAAAATTACCATATTCGTAATTTGTTGTACCACAACCACCATAATTCATATTTCCATCCATACACACACACTATAAATAAAAAACAGATGTACCTGTACTGAAATTGTTAGTACTGTATGAGCTCGGTTATCGAAAGCCCAGTGAACCGAATACCTGTATGTATTTGGGTTATCCAGCCAAAATCGAGTTCAGATAATTTTCTTTTAAAATTCGCCATATTCGAACGGAAATTTAAATAACTGAAGATTAGGTTATGTAAATTTTCAAGAACTACACATTTCAAGATGTACTGTATCACATAAGATACACAAGAACACAGATTACAACACAGTAAGCTGAATTGTTACTTTTAAATTATATTTTTCCTTTATAAACCCATGCAGGCTACATGAATTTTATTAATAAAAATAGAGGAAATACAATATATGTATTAATGAGTTATAAATGTAAAATACACAACTGTATTAATTGGGACATTAGGCATAGAGGCAACTTAATGTGAAGGTCATTGACTCAAATCACTCGACATCCCAAACTACCTTATCTTGGTGTTTTCGGGGATTGGCAACCCTGTGGCCCGGTCCTCGACCAGGTCTCATGGTTGCTGGACTGGTCAACCAGGCTGTTGGATGCGGCTGCTCATAGCCTGATTTATGGGGACTACCATAAGTCTACCATACGTCACTGACTACCACCACAATGATGCTGCAAGTACTGCTACAACACCACACCACTAACACAATAATGGAATTTTGACACAGCAACCCAACACCACACCATTGATAAAGCATGTTTGACACCAGCAACCTAACACCACACCATGGCACTGACACAACAATGCACCTTTGACACCAAAAACCCAACACATCATTTGACAACACTATTTTGACACTAGCAACCTGACATTACTAACAACAACACACTTTTGACACCAGCAACGCCACACTACTATATGAACGATCTACCAGAAGTAATACAGTTATATGAATGTTTGCTGATGATACTAAGTTACTAAAGAAGACCTAGATTGTTATGTCCTTCAAAATGATCTAGACAAAATAAGGTATGGAGCACTGTGTGGTAAAAGGAATTCAGTATGAATAAATGTCATGTTATAGACTCTGGAATAGAAAAATAGGCCACACACAACTTACAGATTATGTGGAAAGGAATGAAAGAACTCTAACAAAGAAAGAAATCTAGGAGTGGTTCTGGATAGTAGACTGTCACCAGAGCAGCACATAAGGAATATTGTGGGAGGAGCATATGCTACGCTTTTCCAACTTCAGAATCGCTTTTAAATATACATGGATGGTAACATACTATAGAAAATGTTCATATACTTTTGTGAGACCCAAACTGGTATATACAGCAGTTGTATGGTGCC